TGACCTTCCCTTGGGGGGCGGTGCGACCTTTTTTGCCGCACTGCCTCCCTTTTTAAGGTCAGGTGGTTTGGACTTCTGCCCAACCCCCTTCCCTTTGCCCTTACGGGTGGACACGGTAGTCCACCTGTCACGACCCTCCCCAGCGGCCGCCGGCTGTCGTGGAGGGGGGTGAGGGAGGGCGCCCCGCTGCCCACAGCTGCGCCCAGACAGCACATGGATATCCTATGGACGTCCATAAGATGTCCTTTAAGGATATTGAGGATATCCATAAGACATCCGTTTTATGTCCTTCGGACATTCAATAGACATCCATGGGACATCCGTTTATGAAACTGGTGGACATGCTAAAATCCCTGACGTGTCCATAGGATATCCGATGGACGTCCAGTGGACGTAATTGATCAATACCGGATATACGGAATGGATTGCATATGGACGTGAAATGGACATCATAGTAGGATTACTCTTGGAATTTTTTAATTTATATTACAAGAATAAAATATATATATATTATGTTTCAACAATAAATTTATTTAAGGAACTTTGTATCATATACATTTTACAAAATAACGATTGTAAATCTTATTACATTTTGAAATATCAGTCATTTGATACAACAATGACATAACTGAGAAATAATTATTTTCTAAGAAACGGTTACCAGTAAATTGTACCTGCAAAAACCGTTCTTTCCGTACTAATAACTAAAAAATGTCAAAATTGTTAGTTATATGTCATTGTTGCAATAGTATTAATTGAAATACAATGTAAATATAATCGCTCGTTTGCTACAGAAATGACATATTTATATTAAAATAAATAATAATTTTCCTGGAAACGGTTAGCAATAAAAAGAACAAGCAAAAACTGTTATTCTTATATTAAAAACTTAAAAATGTTGAGTTATGTCATTGTGTTGCAGCAAATGAGCGTTGTTATATAGTTGTGAGAGAACATAGATTCGTAATTACAAATAATACGTATGTTTGCATTAATCTTGAGTTATCGAAAACAAAATCATATATATATTGATTTGAACTTAACAGGAGTTATTTGAAAATCACAGTTTGCAAATTGCGTCTCCTCATTGCACGATACAAATATATGTCCATGTATATAATATAAAATAAAGAACATTGAATATATAGTTAAAATAATAGTCTTTGGTGCAGTCTTCGGTGTTATATTATTTGTCTTCTTTTGCCGCTCTTTCTTTTGCATGTCTCAACCATGCTTTACTAGCTTTCTCAACCTCTTTTCTTTTTGTCGCTGCTTGACATAGTTGAGCACTTTCTAAAAAAATGGTAAATGTATATAAATATCATCGTTTGATTTAACATATAACTATAGTGATCATATAAAGCGCTGAATGTACAAATAAACCGAATTAATGTTCTGACAAATTGAGACTTAGTTAACGGAAAGTTGTTCAACGAACAACATCAGATATGTTACAACACAAATGTATAAAATTGTTTACGTTTTGGTACATATATTCAATTGTTATTTGTATCATAAATATATTTTCTCTAACTATGCAATAATTTTAACATGTAACTGTGAACTAAGCTGACGTGACTTATCGCCGTTTATATCAAAATTTATTAATTGAAGCGGCTGGTTTTAGGGCCTCCACACACAACTTGACATAGTTGTAACAGTAGATGTACCATAAGAATAGACCACAATCACAATCGTTTCTACTTCAGCATATGAGCCTTAGGGCCGAAGCACAGAACATAACGTAATAGTTACGACAGTCTATACGTAAGCAACGCATATGCAATTGCGTGTGCGTTGCTTACGTCTACGACTGTCGTAATCACTACGTTATGTTCTGTGCTTCGGCTCTTACGGTTCGGAAGTATTGTATGTGATTGGTCAATTCTTACGGTATGTCTATGGCTATGCCCTACTGAAAATTTGTTTTCCACAATTGAGATCTCATATGAGATTTTTTCTCAACTGAGATCTCAACTGAGATCTCAATAGAGATCTCTCATGCCAATTTTTGCGGAAATCTCATATGAAATCTCAATTACATTCTCATTGGAGTTCTCAATTGTGATCTCAACAGAAATTTTTCAGTAGGGTGGCTATGTCAATTTGTATGTGGAGGCCCTCATTCCATCCAAATTAACAAATCGCATTAGTCGTTGATCAGAATTTACAAATGCAATTGGTCAATTGCGATGGAATAACCAACCGATTAAATTAACCAAAGTTGGTATATTCAGACATTAAGACCAAGACCTTAATCATGAATCTTTTTCTCTAAGTGAAAAGTTTCATTGACAAATATTGAATTCGTCAATGAAACTTCTGATTTTTCACGAGTTTACGCTAGAGAAAAAGATTCATTATCAAAGCCCTGAGCTTGGAAAGATTTTACTTTTCTGGCCGATTATCGTGAGTTACGCCCATTTACTTTTTCTTGCCGCTCCAACACATTCCGCGAGCCACGCAAGTGACAATCGCGACACGCTGTCATAGTGTCGTTGACATCGTAAAATGTATCAGGCTCTGAGCAACAGCTGAAAATGGAATTGTTTCGAAAAATATTGTACAGTTATTATTTAGGGCTTTATACATATTACGATATTAACAGCACTGAGACCACGACTGTCAGTTGCGTGGTCCACCTAGCGACAAGGGGACGTGAACGTAGGTCGCGAAAATCGATCTGAAAGGTACAATCTTTTCGAGCTCTGATTTGAAACGATAATAGTGATTTACCTATTAAGGCATTTGCAAGATATAGTTTTCCAAATATTTGTTTCTTCTTGGCTCCGTGCTAGCTGTATTGTTCAGCAAATTTGTTCGTGAGAAGAAGTGATAAATATCGTTTTACGAAATCATATGGAGTAGTTCCTCCTATTTTGGAAAGTTCTTTTACCTAAACAATATGTAACATTTAATTAATTAAAATTAGTAATGAGAGAATTGGCAAAGGAAACTTAAACCAAATTTACACATTTAAGGAACATACAGTTGATTGAAAACGTTTTGCTTCTTGAAGATACTGCTCCACTACTTTCAGTTCTTCTATATTTTGCAAAGGAAACTGGAATGTACTTAAAAATGTCGGCTCATTCCCATCTGTATTGTTTAAATCTCCTTTCTGCAAAACGGTAAGTTTTATTTCTTCGCAGCGTTCTTTTGTTACTTCTCTGATCAAAAATAATTCTTTAAATACTCTCCGCAATTTTTCATCTAAAACAAAAAGGATCAAAAAGAAAGTTGTAATAAATGTAACTAAAAGCCTTAAATATAAATTCAACTAATTAAAATTGTATTAAAAATACTGCATTACAGCTGCTCAATATATTGCAATATGTACCTATATTTTTATGTATGAGGCAGCATGTACAATGTTGTACATTATCAGTCTGTTTATCTGCAGTTGTGTTACAACTGCTGACATATCTTTGCATGTTCACATCTGTGCATATAATGTGTTTACATATTTAATAATATACATATGTTTGGTAATTAATAATATAACCACTACAAATGCACTGAATCGATTCGATTATTTCTCTAAAAAAATAAGCTTTTTCGTGAACTTTTACACTTATCGCATTTAAAACGAGTCAGACGCATATTCGGACGCTTGGAAGAAGCAAAAGCAAGAGAACCGACTTTTGCTTCATTCAAGCGTCCGAATATGCGTCTCACTCGTATTAAACGCGAAAAGTGCAAAAGTGCAAGCAACACGAACAAGCTTTTTATTTTTTGAAGATATAATCGAATCGATTCATAATCGTGCATCTATAATAACCGCGCAGGATAAACAACCAGTTGCTTATGTTTTGACACAATATACATACACAATATTCTTTATTGGCCTATTATATTCGTTCTTCTATTATACGAGGTGCGATCAAAAAGTTCCGGGGCTAGTTATATAAAACAATAACAATGTACCGGATTAAAAGCTGGTTGCCATCTTCTTTAAAGTAATCCCCTTGTGCAGCAATACATCGGTTCCAGCGCTTCTGCCACTGTTCAAACGTTCTCTGGAAGACCCGTTCTTCAAGAGTACTCCTCGCGCTGTATCTATTCAAATGGTTTCAAAACGACTCCCTTTTAGCTTCATTTTCTGCTTAGAGTCAAACAGTTAATGTTGAGGTCTACTGCAACATTCTGAAACGGCTGACAGATAATTTCGGCGCAAATGGCACTGCTTTTAATGTCTTTTCTGTAGTATACGGTGGCCAATAACATATGTTATTAACAATCCAAGACGTTGGCACCGCTTCCACTACATTTTCGTCTTCAAATCTCACAACTGTCCAAGTTTTCTCCATTTCTCATGATTAGTTACAAATATTATACTCACAAATATCATACTCACAAATTATACAAGAATAAAAGTACTACTTTTGTTAAAATTTTTGTTATATTACCAAGATATTTTCGAATATTGCCAACACAAAACTATTGCATCATTCTTATCATTGACAGTGTTAATGTTATAAGGTACCTGAACCGAATAAGGCCCGGCATAAAATAAGGCCCACTTTTGAATTTACTATTTAAAAGCGCGCTTTATGCCTAAACTTTATGCTTAAAAAATGTGTCATAGGACTGTTAAGATCTTAACGGTTCTATGACACATTTTTTAAGCATACAATTTAGGCATAAAGCACGCTTTTAAATAGTAAATTCAAAAGTGGGCCTTATTTTATGCTGGGTCTTATTCGGCTCAGGTACCTTAGTACTTATATACACTTGGCGTCAATATCAATATCATATATGTGTGTCTTAACATTTTAAAAAATCACTAGATATATAGATTTATATCAGACAGATATTAATATGTATGAATTATATATTACGACTTAATGCAATTCGATTCAGTTTATTCGAATAGGCAGGTATTTTAATGCATGAATATTAAGGCAAATATATTATTATTTTAAGGCAAATATATTATTATTTTAAGGCAAATATATTATTTTAAGGCAAAATATTATTATTTTAAGGCATGAATTTTAATGCATGAATATTTATATGTAATGCAACTGAAAATTTGACATGTAGTTTATGTTACACATGTTAAGACACATCCAATATACAAATATTACAAAACCAATAAACAATACATTAACATTCTAAGGAAAAAGTCAATAAAAGAAACAACTGAAAAGCAAATTGTTCTATTCTATTTTAAAATGCTTACTAAGGATCATTGAAACATTATTGTTAATTTATATAATATTATATACAACAATAACAGCATTATTGCTCCTCTAATTATAAATGTAGTAACGGAAATATGACATATATATTTCTGAATTGCAATTTTACACATTTATAACATATTTGATGGAGTTGCCATGATGTAAGTGGCCTTAAATTCTTCGCGGCATAAATTCCTATAGATGACGATTTACAGGGTTTTGTATAAAAATCTTCAAGCTCTAAAAATTCCTGAGCAATTAATAATATGCCATCAGTTGTTGATATTATACTTTTCACATTAATTATTTTATGATTAACAGTGTAACAGCAATTATCCGGTTCAGTTACTTTTAATACAAACCCGTTTAAAAGAATTTCCTTATATTGTGCAACGAAGGATATGTTATTGATTATTGATCCTACGTTATGTTGTTTCTTTAAGGTTGGTACATTATGTGATTTGTGTTTATTAAACGGAATGCTGTTATCTATTTCATATTTATGGCGAACTATTTGTTGTAATGATTTCTCCGGTTTCCTTAGTAATTTCTTTATTGATTGTAAATAATTTTCAAATAAAAATGCACTAAATTGATCTAATGTTCCAATTCTTGCAACATCGTCACAAATGTGCAACAGGTTATGCACGTTATGAGAGACTTGATCCTTACCATATAAAATTATAAACGTCTTCACAAAATATTGCATCAGAGATCTTGCATAATCTATGTGTTTTTTATAATTTGGATTGCATAAAATGGACGTGGCTATATGTAGAGGTAAAAAATTAATATATCTATCATAACTTAGAGTAGATTTCAAAACTACAGGACCTGTATATAAAAGGAACTGTCGAAGTTCTGTTGCCTTCCATCGTTTGACTTCATTCAGATCACGAGGTTTACGATTGAATTCTGACGGTATATTGCATTTTAGCTGAAGTAATGATTTAGAAATATTAGATATTGCAGTATATGATAATTTTGTTAATGGTTTTCCATGAACCCAAAACATAAGTAATTTTTTAGTAACTCCCAAACAAATTAGATGCATATAATCTAATGGAAAGTCACGTATCATGTCAATATTTGAAATGGATTCTAATATTGTAGTACCTGAATGATGATCTTTTTGGCGCTTAGATCTAAAATCATTGTCACAACGCAAAGTCAAGTTTTCAACATTAAGAAAACAGATATGATCATTAATATGTGTTCCTCGTTCATAGCATTTTGTACATGAAGAATATCCGGAATGACCTTTAGTATAAGTGATAAATGATTTTGCGGGTGCATCGCAAATAAATGCTTTCACTTTTATTGAATATAATTTTGTATTATAATATATACCATTAGATATTAAATTATTGATGTCATCTACTAAATCTGTTAAAAATTTATTTGCATCCTTTGGTTTTTCAATTCCATGATAAATCCCAACAAGTTCAACATTAGTGGGAAATAATCAGCATAATATAGGATACAGCTGACTATTAGTGCTCTTTGCAATTGGTAAACCATCAATATTAATTAAAATCTGAAGGCAATTCGGATTTACATAATGATCTGTTTTGGATAATAGATTTTCGATGCACTGCAGCAATCCAAAATGATAATATATGCCAGGCTCTACAATTTTTACATCAATATTTCTTGGAGTTTTCAATAAGGTCCTAGCATCCAAAGAAAGCTCGGGATAGTCTTGACTTAAAATTATTAATAAGTCGTTCATAGCTAAATGTGCAATGTTGTGTTTTATGGCCCATGTTCTTAATCTTACAGAAATGTTATGCTGCAACTCAGAAGTACATATATTTTGTTATTTATATTGCTATTTTCATGTACAACATTTGTTTCAGAATTTATAGACTAGTTACTTGAAACAGAATGATCAGAAACTGCTTCATTAATTATTTCAGTGTCAGATATATCTGAAAACTCATTTTCACTAATAGATGAATTATACTGTACATTATATGTATCATTACAATTACTAGAAGTTGATATTACAGAATTTAACACTGATTCATTTGCTTCAGGAATTGAATTAGTGACAACAGAAGATTCTGTATAATAATTACTTATAGCAATAAATAAATTTGCTTTTTCAGTTGCTTTTCGGTACCCACTTCGTTTTAATGACCGTTTTTTTGGCATATTGTGATCCATTGATTCGCGAAAGTTAAAATATATAAATGTTTGGTATCTTGTTCAATTTGGAGGTTATGTAACTATGTTGCAGTATATTACATGACAGAAATGAAATACCCTAAAACATTTCAGGAGAATTAAGAAATGCAACATAATAAAAAACAACGTATTCCAGATTGTATCATAGGTAGCATATATAATTGTAGATAATACAAATATAGTTACTTACTCATATACACTAATTGTGTCCTTTTTTAAGATATTATAAGACCAACTAGTAACGCTATAAATGACTGTCGCACACCGGCGTGATACGCGACGCGACGCGCGATATTCAATGAGCTTCCAGTAATTTCGAAAAAAGTGTACGCCTATTGGGTATCACGAGTCACGTGTCGCATATCGCGTGTCGCGCTGGCTGCGAGAACCAACCAACCAACACACATAACCGAAAGTCGAGTACATACTAACCTGCCGAGGTATGGAGCGTGCATGAATAACAAAACTTTCGGTGCGTTTTACCCACATAATTTCTGCAGGGCAGCATCTCTATTCATCCTTTAATACGTTCTAAGGGTATCCCCAGGATATCCCTCTCATGTTCCTTAATAGGCCGATATAGAGGGAACGAAATACGAATAAGAATAGCATATGGACATACAAACTTGCCCATTTGGGGATATCCCTACAGTGTCCACAAGTGTATATCCTATGGACATCTTATAAAGATCCATGGACATCCCGACCAGAAATGGACATAAAACGGATGTCCATAGGATATCCTGTGCTGTCTGGGCGGGTACCGGAGAGGGAAGGACCCTCTCCAGTAACCGCCCTATGCGGGCGATTTCCGCCTTTCGGCCCCGGACTTGGATCTCCAGGGGCCCAAGCCGTCTATCCGGACCTCCATCCCTCACCATCCTCCCGTTGTCCGCCAATGCCTCCTCGATCTCCTCGAGGCACCGATGAACCATGTCATTGAGACATGCGAGGCCCCACGTAGCCCCTCGCAGCCTTCCGCCCCGGTTCGACCCTGAGCTCGCGGAGGTATCGAATCCGTCGATCGCCTCCGCAGCCAGGGTCTCACCCAGCCATGAGGGCTTCCGCACGGGCGGAATCTCCCACTGGGCTCGCTTACGCCCCACTTCAGCACCCCCCTCCCGCGCGTTTCGGAGAGGAGCCCCACCGGCCGAGGACTCTTCGTCCTCGGCCAGCGGGAACTCCTCCCCCGGGAAGTGCCACTCCTATAGCTGCGAGGCGGACAGCTGTTCAGTCCCACCCTCGCGCACACAGGAAGGTCCTCCTCCCCAGAAAACCCCCCTCCTCCCGTGGAGCGAGAGGAGGGAAGTGTATCTCCCTATCCCTCCATAACTGGGAGGCGGACGTCTCCGCCTTCCGTTTCCTCTTTTTAGATACCGGAGGTAAGGCTGGGGCCGAGAACAAATCTACTCGACTCACGCTCGGCCGCAGCCCGTCCTCCAGTGCCTCCCTTCGGGCGGTAGCACTTTCCAGCAGCGCGCCCGCCTGGCGCGCGCCGCCTAGCCCATCGCATTATGACGACGGAGGGGGTGCTGGGACAATACTCCCCCTCCCGCCGTTCCCCGGCTCCGAGCACCAGGGTGTTTACCTCCTTATTTGACATTTCTCCATAAATGTGGGGATTTTATGTGCCCCTACACACACGGGTGTATCTTCGGGGTTTTCCTTCCCCTAGACCGGCTGCCTTCACCAGACTAACGAGCCCGCTCTGCCCGCGCTGTAGGAACCTTTGGGCCGCACAAGTGCGAGCCTCCAGTTCCTGAGTAAAACCTGGAGGCAGCTGCCCATCCAGGAGTATTATGGACGCTCTTAGTCTAGTCCCTCCGTACAGGCCACCCCGGCATGGTAGAACCTGCCAGGGGTCGAAATCCCCGCCGGTACAGACCTGTACGTCATCGGGACACGCAAGCTCCCCCACCACGGCAAGATGACGTCCACGGGGGAGATTTGTACTATATAGGTCTGTACTGTCCAACTAAGCCAAGTAAAGATAAATATATGAACATTTTGTACTTTTATACATACCTTTATTTTAATGTCCAGCATAGATTTTCGTTGTTTTTGTTTCATATATGGCGATAAATCTCTTATTAACATAAGCACTAATGGTTTTGTTAATCTGAATAATTTAATAAATTTTTCATCGCTTATATTAAAAGCTTCGGCTGCCACATTTCTTATACGATTTCTTCTAATATTTAAATGTTCATGTTCAGCTTCTTGAACAACTACAAAATTATTCATTATATTCATAATTATGTTCGTATTCCTTACTATTACTCTATTACTTCTTACTACTTTGTACTATTGCTTCATTAAAAGTCACTCGTAAAAGTCTTCGCAAGTGAAAAACGACTACCTCAGACCACTCGCTGCATTATGTACGTAAATTTGCGTATACGTTTTAATACATATACTCTGGAAAAGTTAGAGAATAGATTTTGACGTGCAAACATTCGTAACTTGGAATTTGCGTATACGTTTCTCTCAAACGTAAGTTAGGGAATCGGGCCTCTGGTGTTGATGCGCTTTTGGACGTCCACTGCATGGATCATCTTCAATGCTTGTACGACCATGTTGAAACTCAAGTGCCCATTTACAAACCATTGTTTTTGAAGGAGCAGATTCCCCTAACACATTTACCATCTCGGAATGAATTTCCATTGCCTTTAAACCTTTATTAACAAAGAACTCAATCACTACACGCTGTTTCAAATTTTCCATTGCAAACAAATATACTGACATGTCAACTTCAATTGGCTTGTAAACACAGAAAGAGTTGACAGATGGAAATGAAACCTAACCTAGGTTCATCTTCTTCTTCTTCTTCTTCTTCTTCAATAGATGGCTCTGCGCATACAACAAATGCTCCAACGCCACTCACACGCTAAGCTGAATCGTATGAAGTTGTTTACAAAACTTGGTTAGTTTCTATCAAAAATCTGGATATTTCAATGAAGTTTGGAATAAATTTAATATTGAAAGCTGCTTTTTCTAGTTCCTGGTTACATGCGATCATCAATGCTTTGTAGTATAGTTTTAACAAAAGACTGTCAGATTCTTTAGCATTTAGAGGGCATCTGTATATAATGTGATCAATATCACGATTGTGCCATCCACATTGACATGTATTGTCTATTATGTTAAGCTTTCTTCTCAGATGCTCCGTTGTGCATATATGGTATGAACGAAGTCGTGCCATAAGAGTGATAACGCTCCTATTGGTACGGCCCAGTTTGAAAAACCACGGTTTCGACGCAAGTTCAGAGATCTCATTCCTGTATCTTATACCTTTACGAGTAAATTCTTCCTCAAGAAAGCTTTTTGCTTCATTATTTAATTTGTGTTTAATTTCATCTATGTAGTCCTCTATCCTGGGAGGAGAGAGGAGTTCTAGAGGAGGTTCGGAGCTACGTGCACCAAGGCCCGCCAATGCATCTGTCATCTTATTGCCTGGGATGTTTCTATGTCCAGGTATCCATGCTAGTATAATGTGTATTCCTTCCCTTGCAGATTTCCACAAGACATGCTTGATTTTCTGGATAATGCGTAGAGATTTACCTTCCAAATCTGGTGTATTAAGTGCATTAATTGTACTCAATGAGTCAATAAAAATGCCAACTCTATCCGGTCTTTCCGATGCAACAATATTCGCTGCCCGGAGGATGGCCATAGATTCAACATAGAAGATATTGTTAGAGTCAAAGGTATGTATGGATTCTCTAAATTCAGGATTCGGAACAAATACCCCATGACCAGCATTGCGGTCACCCAGAACCGAACCATCTGTATAAACTTCCATAGTGAATTTCATTTCACTAATGATACCACCTACACGCCTTACCAACCCAGTAGCTGAGATCTTTTTGCCCTTACAGTCTATCCAAAAATTACCTCGTTTTCTATTGTACTCTTTTATATTATCAAATAAGTTGATACAAATGTTAGGAACAAAGAATCTAAGCTCATAGGGATACTCAAATGAGGAAGGCAGTAAATTGTTCTTAAAAGTTTACCCATAGTTCCAAGATGATTGAATTGATTTGAAAAAAGATGACTGAGATGAAGCTTCATTCGGTTGATTGTCATCATTCCCACAAGAACTATGCCAATCGTCCATAATTTTGTTAATGGGTTTTTTGCACTTGCAAGACTTCTAATAACCGTTTTATGTTCAAGAAATCTCCACCGATATACTAGTGGCCACTCCGCAACTTGATCCAGTAATATGTTGGTAGGCGTGGATCTCATTAGACCTAGTATAATTCTAATGCAGCTATATTGTACTCTATTGAGTTGTAGTGTAACCTTGTTGGATGCAGTTAAAATTATACCGCCCAAGTCTAGTAGGGATCTAATAAATCCCTTATAAATCATTAGTAGCATATTTGGGTGAGAGCCCCAACTAATTCCTGCAGAGGACCTAAGTATGTTAATGCGAGTTTGGCAAGCGATTTTAAGTTTTTTAGCATATGCCTTCCAAGATAAGTTGATGTCAAACGTATATCCAAGAAATGTTATACATGGTATGAGGAGGATAACAGCTCCCTCAAGCTGAAGCCACATTCTATTTTGATTGATAATAGATTGTAGTGTATGAAACCTTTTGCTTTTATCAAATAAACACCAATTAGTTTTATCGGCAGAGATTTCCAGGTCTAGTCTGGAAAAGTTTCCCTTAAGGATTTTAAGGTTTGTATTGAGAGTTTGCACTATCTTATGAATGCTTTTGTGTTTTACAAAAATAACAAGGTCATCGGCATAGGCCATAATCTCAACTGAGTTATCTAGGTCTGCGTGAATGTTGGCAATATATAAATCAAAAAGTAGGGGGCTCATAACTGATCCCTGAGGTACACCCAAGGATCCTGTACGAGTACCCAGGTAATGCCCACCAAAGTAACCAGAAACAATTCTGTCAGTCAAAAGATGCGAAATAAATTTAATAATTTTTTTGGGGATTCCCAAATCTTTAAGAATATAAAGCAACTTGAAGGGGTTAACATTATCAAAAGCACCCTTAAGATCCACAAAAACATCACCTACGATCTGTTTGTTATGGAAGGCGCTTCGAAAGTAAGTTTTCAATGCAAGAGCGCTATTAGCACACGATCTATTGCGTCTAAATCCGTTTTGATAAAATGGCAAAACCTTATGAGCTTCAACCCACCACTCAAGACGATTTTTAATCAAATATTCAAATATTTTGAGTAAAGTGTTCGACAGAGATATAGGACGTAACTTCGTGGAGCCTGGTTTCGGGATAAAAATCATATAGTAATGCTTCCAGGAGGTAGGGTAATTACCATGACGGAAGAAGTCATTGAATAAATTATAAATAAGATTAAAACACCAATCCGGAAGATGTGAGAGGATACGGAAAGAAAGATGGTCGAGCCCCGGAGCTTTATTTTTCTTTCCTTTAAGATTATTTTGGATGACTAAATTGAATTCTTCAGCGCTGAAATCTTCATGAAGAAGTTGACAGTCCTTATGGTGATCAATAAAAGGCGACAGGCACTCTAAATCGTTGACTTTAATGTTGTCTCTTATAAAGGACGGTGTTATAATAATAAGCTCTCTGTCTGAAACTGCATTGTTAAACGTAATCGTTATTGTGTTAAGGCTTTCATTTGATAGTTCGATATTGATATTTTTAATATGCTTTTTCCTCTTAAATGCCGATACCGAGTTCCACACACTGTTAACGTCCGAATCTTTATTCAAAGAGGAGCAGAACTCTTTATATTTATCATTACGAATTTTTCTAAGTTGTATTTTAACTGACTTGCAAATATTATTATAAATATCTAAGTTTTCTCCTGTTGGGTGCCTCTTGTATTCGTGATAGGCTGCAATTTTAGGTTTAACAATCTCGACGCATTTTTCATCCCACCACGGGGAAGGAGGTCTTCGTATGAAGTTAACTGACTTCTTGCTACGGGCTCCAACAGATTGCAAGGAATCATCAATAAGTTGGGTGAACTTATCATACGCAGATGCTGGTTCCGAGGTGTCCTCTGATTGAAGGAGTGCTTCAGAGGAGGAGTTCATTTGGTTATTGAATTTATTCCAGTCTACTTTCGAAAGAGAGTAGTGGGGCCTGCAAAAAGATTTAGTTGGTAAGACTTTGGCTGTGGAGATGATAATGGGATAGTGATCACTACCATACGAGTTAGGTAAGATCTCCCATTCGAAAGTATTTATAAGTGGAGGAGAAACAAGTGTGAGGTCTATGGCACTAAAGTTGGCAAGGTCATGTGAGATGGCCATTATTACAAATACCAAAGCTAGAATTAGAGATAGCCTCAGCAAGATTGGAGCTGTTAATATTAGAATGAGATGTAGATTTGCATATTGGATGTTTACAATTAAAATCTCCTGTAATAATAACATTCGTAAAATTGTCAAAGCAGTGAAAAATATCCTCCCAAACATTCACATTCGTGCTTGTAGTGAATAGGTAATTATTAGGTGGATTATATATGGAAACAAGTAAAATAGATATATTATTGGATATGAAACGGATAACACAACAATCAATATGATAATTGGCACAAATGCGGTTAAGGTTCTATGTTAATTAGCGTGAAATTGATGTCAGAGCGACATGCAATAGCAGAGCCTCCACCTGTTGAACTCCTATTGTGGAATACTAGTTTATAGTTAGCTATGCTAAGCGAGTCCGTGTCATTCAACCATGTTTCTAATAGACATAGAGAATCAGGCAGATTATCAAAATTATTTAAGAGAAAAAATAAGTCATTTAGTCTAGCTTTTATGGAACGACAGTTCCATTGGAGAATACAAAATGAGTTATATCTAGAGTTAGATAAATTAGCCATTATACAATATGTAGTAAATAAGGTTACCTAACAATAGATATTGAAGTATTTTGCCTGAGAAAGATATATTAAGAGGATTGTTTTAGTAGATTGCTTGAGAAACGTGACTAGGAAAGTTAAGATGATGTTTAATGATAAGAGAGGAAACCATTTCAATTACATGAGACAATTTATTAAGAGAACCGGTAATGATAATACAGGAGTTCTCCTCAGAGTTGGCGGAATCAAAGTCTTTTTGAAATTCTTTGAAGATACTATTAAATTTTAATAGATAATCAACATCAACCTCAGAAACAGGGTTGAATTCTCCAATCATTTCACCAGTAGCTGATTCAGGCTGGGGAACAATAATGTTATTAGACTCCATCATTGCAGGCTGGGGAACAATAATGTCATTAGACTCCATCATTGCAGTATCATCATTAGAATGAGATTTATCAAGTATGTCTGGAGGAGGTTGAATGTCATTAGGAGGATTGCGGACTGATTTGTTATGAAATTGTTTGTTAGTTTTATCAATAAAAGTTTCAGAATCAGCCAACTTTTTACGTTTCCAGGCAGCTGATTGTTTGTTATTTGGTTTACTGTAAGTTACAGTTTCTTTATGAGTATCCCTTTCCTCCATGATGGAGTTTGTTGACAATCCCGGGAATGAGGAATTTTGTATAAGTAATGGTTGTCCAGAGTACCATGGTAAAAAGTTCCCAAAAGTGGGAAGATCGTTTTCTCTTCTGTTATTGCCCTCCAGCCAATCATCCGGAAGGCGGGAGCCAAATTGCTTATAAAGATTTAAAACATCACTAGGACCTAGTCCCAATTTGGCCATAATCACCTTAAGTTGTTTACATTCTGTAAAGATAGGACATTTAGGGTCACTGGCCTTATGTTAATGCGATGTCATATTGCGACGAATGCAGTTAATGCATGCTCGCTTTTCTTCTTTGCTCTCGCCAGTGGCATGGTCCTTGGAAGCGCAGTTGCCACAAACTTTGGCCTGTTCACCACCTCTGCACTGTATGACAAGGTGTCCGAACCGCTGACAGGTGTAGCATCTCTTGACTTTTTGTATATAGGGTGTAAACCTAATCTTCTTCTCCATGTATAATGCAGCATTTGGTTGGGTGTGACTCTTAAACGTAAGAATCAAAATATTAGAATTTATAATAATGTTTGAGTTTGGGTTCTTACGATCTTGCACTTTTCTAGGAATAAATTTAGCATCCAACAATTTAGGCCAATCTTCATTCCAGAACAGAGGCGGAAGTAGATTATCCATAATTTCTTCCGGTGTTTCAGAAGAATCGATATCCTTAGTAATAACTTTTACCGAGACTCGGTAATCAGGAATGTAAGCTGCCCAGATGGTTTTTTCCACAATTTGTTTGCCCATCTTATCCATGCGGGTAACAAATCTGTTAGCGAGCAGGGGGTCTGGGAAAGTGATTGAGAACTTACGCGACCCCATGCTCTTTAGGTTAAAGGCGAATTTCCATAGGTCGTACATAGCACGGTTTATAACCTTTCCAATTCTAATCTCACTGAAGCTTCTAGTTGAGATCGATCTGTCGTATATTTTTTCAAAATGTACTTCAAAAGGGCCAGTTACATTTTTCTCGTACATGTTACCCTTTAACTTGCGAATGTTTTCAGGGATACAATTTCCCTGATTTTAAGCGGCTCAGATATATTATCCTTACCTGGTATTGACTGTGTCGATGGGCTTTGGTTTTCATCAGAGCACATTTCCATATCAGCCAAAATAAAATCCACGGTTGTTTGAGTTATATCTTTTTCTTGGTCCATGTTGTATAGCAAAAATCAAAATGGCGTAAAGCAATCGAATAGGTTTATCAAAACCAAATATCTCAAAAGTTTCACAGATCAAGTCCAAATCGTATTCACAGATCAAAGCCAGGTCAAAGTTCAGTAGGATACACCAGGAAATAGCAAATATTTCACACAGCGTCGTATGCGGGGGTCGGCGCTCCCCGGGGGGGAATCGGCAGTGTGCCCGAGGTAGAGTCAGCCGAGGAGGAGCGGCCACAGGCCACCCCCTCGGCCGCCTCGGGCCCGATTCCGGACACGCCGGGGAGGAGGTGGTGGTGAGTGGGGTGAGTGATCCCGCCCGCCTTCCCCGTACGTCGGTAGAGTCAGGGAAAAAGGAGAGTGGATGTCCAGTTGGGGATGGCTCCACTCTCCTATAATGGGGGGTGCGGGAGGAGGGTGGATGTCCCCTCCCCCTAAGATAAAACCAGAAGGCCAACCCGACCGGGGATTCGGTCGGGGGACCGTACCCCGGACTCCTTTGGTGGGACGGGGTGCGGTACTCGAGGCGAGGGGCTCCCGGAGAGCCCTGGGGCCGGGGTGTTGGGGAGGGAATGCGGGAGCAGTTCCCCTAACTCCCCTCACAACGGTCCGAATGGTAGACATCCCGCAGGGGTTTTAGTCAGTAAGAGTCCGACATAACCCCCGACCCCCCAAGGGTCGGGGGTATCCATGAAGGATTTCCCCTGCGTTACCAAAAAAAAAAAATATTTCGTCGTGACAACGACGGATTGAGCAAAACTATGAAAGAGCTAAAACTCGCGATGCGACACTCACAGCGATCCAAAATGGAATCTCAACTTAGGTTCATGTGAAGAGTGATTCTATGAGTGCGGTCCGAAATACACTCGCAGCGCTCACGATGCTCAAAGTGCTTATAGTGGGTCCGATTCAAATATCACGCTCTAAGTGCTTACTTTTCGGACCGGTTGTAAACACATGGAAATTAACCTAAAATTTTATTTATTTTTTCCGATATATTGTCTGGAAGCTCCAAAATTTTATTATATGTGTCATATTCATCCCATTCATCATCAACATGGAGAAAAAAGAGCAAAAGATTATACAGGGTTTTTCAATTGGTGCGGGTCGATGTTGGCAGCCTGTGATGGCCATGTTGTTTTGGCGGCATCTGTCTAACCTGTTGTTTATTATTCAGTTACTGATGCCAAATCACCATGACAAGTTACACGATTGAGCAGCACGTCCAAATGATAAAACTTTATTATCAAAATGAGTGTTCATTAGTGCAAACGTTGTGCGCGTTGCGCCCATTTTACGGCAGACGCGGTGGCCCTTCAAAGTCGACTCTCCAACGTTTGGTGGCCAAATTCGAGACGACCGGTTCGGTAAACGATCAGCCAACACCCATACGTCAAAGGAACGCCAGATCGGCCGAGAACATCGCCGCTGTAAGTGAAAGTGTGCAGGAGAACCCGAGGCAGTCAATTCCTCGCCGTGCACAAGAACTCGGCCTTTCGCAGACCTCACCTTGGCGAATTTTGCGTCAGGACTTGGGCCTGCACCCGTACAAGATCCAACTGGCCCAGAAGCTCAAAGTTAATGACCATAGACAACTCCGTTTGTTCGCTGACTGGGCTTCGGAGCATTTGGAAGAGGACCCCAATTTTGGCCGAAAAATCATCTTTAGCGACGAGGCGCATTTTTGGATGAATGGTTATGTTAACAAGCATAATTGCCGTATATGGCACGACGCCAACCCACACGAAGTTCAACAGGTAGCAATGCATCCACAAAAAGTTACTGTTTGGTGCGGATTTTGGGCCGGCGGTGTCATTGGTCCGTACTTTTTCGAAAACGACGTTGGTGAGGCCATCACCGTCAATGGCGAGCGCTACAGAACGATGATAACCAATTTCTTTTGGCTCAAATTGAACGATATGGACGTGGACGACATGTGGTTCCAGCAGGACGGCGCTACATACCACACAGCGGACGCCACGATGGACATTCTGCATGAACGATTTGAGAATATGGTTATCTCTCGCAGAGGTGACGTGAATTGGCCACCAAGATCGTACGATTTGACCCCGCTAGACTTTTTCTTGTGGGGTTTTCTGAAGTCGCAGGTCTATGCCAATAAGCCGCAATCGACTGATGCCCTTAAAGTCAACATAACCCAGGCCATCGCTCAAATTCAGCCGGATCTATGCGGCAGAATCATTGAAAATTGGACTCGGATCCGTGCCACCGTGAGAAGCCGCGGCGGATATTTGAACGATGTTATATTCCACACATAATGGCATACATGGGCCTTTCAAATAAAAAAAAGATTTTCGTTAATACCTCACACACAGCTTGTTTTATCCCATTGCAACATCGACCCGCCCTTATTGAAAAACCCTTTATTATTACAATGTTTAGAATTTTATTCCGAAGACGATAATAGTGATTTAGAATTTATGGATACGTTTTTAAACGACGATAGTGAAGAGGAAGAAACAGAAAATTTTGTTAAAATTATTGGATGTACAAATTAGTTCGGTCCATTTTCAAAAGATGGCTCCGGCTGTTATGAATGGTTCATAGTGACTGCCGATTTTGGCGGTTTCAGAGAGGTTAGACATCTGCCAATAATATTCAGTTTATATCGCTTTGAGTTTCGTACAAAAACCTTGCTTTTTACAGTGTTGAAAATATCGAATTTTGTGTTAACCAAGCAGCATTTGCAGGTTTTAATTTTCTGCTTTAATTGGAAGAAAAGTGCAGCTGAAGCCCATCGAACAAGCCCATGCTTGTTGAAGTTTGTGGTGACGCTGCTCCAACTGATAAATCATGTAGGGAATGGTTTCGACGTTTCAAGGATGGAGATTTCAGCGTCGAAGACAAGCCTCGCTCTGGACAGCCAAAAAAATTCTAGGACAAAGAATTAGAGGCATTACTCGAAGAAGATCAGAGTCAAACGTAAGAGGAGCTTGCAGAATCATTGGGAGTGACTCAACAAGCCGTTTCCGTACGATTGAGAGACATGGTATTTATTCAAAAACAAGGAAATTGGGTGCCCTATGAACTGAAACCGAGAGACGTTGAAAGATTTTTCACTTGCAAGCGGCTGATTCAAAGGCAACAAAGAAAAGGTTTTTTGCATCGGATTGTAACTGGAGATGAGAAGTGGATATTCTACGACAATCCCAAGAAGAAAAAATATTACGCCAAGCCCGGTCAATTGTTGCCATCGACCTCAACATCAACACCAAAGCCGAACATATATGGTTCGAAAATCATGCTCTGTATCTGATGGGACCAAAAGGGTGTTGTTTATTATGAGTTGCTGAAACCTGGAGATCCCATTACGGGCGATCGGTATCGGATACAATTGATTCGTTTGAGCCGTGCATCATATAGCTATGATGCTCACGGTGACCCACCTTCCAACCAAATGCACCGTGAGCACTGAAGACATCATGTATTAATGACGTCACTTTGCTCATGAAAACGCTGTAAGGATGAATCGGACCGGCTGTGAGCGCGATGTTAGCGCTGTGAGCGTGTTTCGGATCGCAGCCTATATAACCGACTATAATTTATAATTCTACCGTTTATTTATAGATGCCGCTCCGCGAACTTTTCACGCAACCTGTATGTGTTAATAATTAAAATGTACCGGTACAGTCTTTTATATACGATAAATGTTAGGCGGCCTGATTGCGAAATCTGGCTTTGTAGAGACCTCGGGAATAGATCGAGGAATATGTTATAACAATTTGGTGCTGATATACAGGGTGTCTCATAACTAACCTGGCAGAGCTCGTGGAGACATAGAGCGGGTTAAGACAAATATAAAAGTCCCATACCGTTTTGTGAGATTCGCAATAATTATCGAGTTATTAATGACAGAAATTAGAGGAATGAGCGCGCACCGAAACATTATGGGAGGAGCATCTAGCCGCTCAGGCTAGAGAGCACTGCCCAGTCGACAAAGGAACTGTTGCCGGCGCGCAGCGAGGGGAAGGACAACGCGCCAATGTTTATGTCCTTACTTCGCCGCTCCTACATCCCGCCGCACCGCGTCTATGCTCGCGCTGAAATGGCCGCTGAATATTCGCGATTACAATTACGAAATTATTTTATGAGGTACCACAGACAGCTCATATTGAATTATAAAGTTCAAGGTTCAAAAGTTCTTTGATCAAGGAAAACATCGAAAAGGAGAAAGCGATAGAGAGCGATGAGATCTACAGAAATTCTCATTGTTTTCTATCGCAATCTATCGTTTTGCTGCATCGGATCCGAAAGAAATGATATCGCGTAAAGACAGAGTACGATGAACACTTTTCATCGTACTCTATTGTACTCTATCGTTAGGAGAATATTTAATTGTTAGAGTATGATAGAATTCGCGTAGAAACTCATCGTGTCCTATCGTTTTATTCAAGTCTACACGGAAAATATGTTTGGTTGAATGAATCAATTTTCTGACGAAATGAGAGAGAGAGAGAGAGAGAGAGAGAGAGAGAACGATTAAGAAATTTTGATTGAGAATAGCACAATTTTGTTTAAGTTAACCATAAACCTTGATGAATTAGACTCAGTGTTAATATTTTCAGTTAATATTTCTCTGTATCGTTCATATTTCATTTGCAAGCTGTATCATGGATCAAACATTTTTATCATATATCATGCATAAATTGTTGTCTTATATCGTAATTCTTGTCAGTGGTATATTAACGACAGAAGAAACTGAAAGTTCTGTATCGTACAATTGCGAAAAGAGGACCATCGTTGTCAATGGTGCACCAACGATACTCGGCATAAAATTGATTCCTAGGTATAATCGCGATACAACGCAAATCCGAGTGTGTTATTTTGATACGAATAAATGTATGATTGATTGACGCTTTCTTTACACGTTTCTTGTCGTTGAATCGTGCAAAAAAAAACATTTTATAGTTAAATATTTCACGCATCTCCCTAATTTTTTAATAAAATAAATAAAATAATTGCCCTTTCGGAAGTTTATTATTTATCGCATCGGATTTTCTTGTCGTTTCGTGTCATTTCTTATTTTAGGAATTGTGAATTAACGATTGATTCTTTATGTTCTCCTTCGGTAAGTATCTTATTAAAAAATTAGGGAGATGCATGAAATATTTAACTATAAAATGTTTTTTTTGCACGATTCAACGACAAGAAACGTGTAAAAAAAGCGTCAATCAATCATACATTTATGCGTGTCAAAATAACACACTCGGATTTGCGTTGTATCGCGATTATACCTAGGAATCAATTTTATGCCGAGTATCGTTGGTGCACCATTGACAACGATGGTCCTCTTTTCGCAATTGTACGATACAGAATTTCCAGTTTCTTCTGTCGTTAATATACCACTGACAAGAATTACGATATAAGACAACAATTTATGCATGATATATGATAAAAATGTTTGGTCCATGATACAGCTTGCAAATGAAATATGAACGATACAGAGAAATATTAACTGAAAATATTAACACTGAATCTAATTCATCAAGGTTTATGGTTAACTTAAACAAAATTGTGCTATTCTCAATCAAAATTTCTTAATCGTTCTCTCTCTCTCTCTCTCTCTCTCCCTCTCCCTCTCCCTCTCCCTCTCCCTCTCCCTCTCCCTCTCCCTCTCCCTCTCCCTCTCCCTCTCCCTCTCCCTCTCCCTCTCCCTCTCCCTCTCTCTCTCTCTCTCTCTCTCTCTCTCTCTCTCTCTCTCTCTCATTTCGTCAGAAAATTGGTTCATTCAACCAAACATATTTTCCGTGTAGACTTGAATAAAACGATAGGACACGATGAGTCTCTACGCGAATTTATACTCTAACAATATCTAACGATATCATACTCTAACAATTAAATATTCTCCTAACGATAGAGTACAATAGAGTACGATGAAAAGTGTTCATCGTACTCTGTCTTTACGCGATATCATTTCTTTCGGATCCGATGCAGCAAAACGATAGATTGCGATAGAAAACAATGAGAATTTCTGTAGATCTCATCGCTCTCTATCGCTTTCTCCTTTTCGATGTTTTCCTTGATCAAAGAACTTTTGAACCTTGAACTTTATAATTCAATATGAGCTGTCTGTGGTACCTCATAAAATAATCTCGTAATTGTAATCGCGAATATTCAGCGGCCATTTCGGCGCGAGCATAGACGCGGTGCGGCGGGATGTAGGAGCGGCGAGGTAAGGACATTGGCGCGTTGTCCTTCCCCTCGCTGCGCGCCGGCAACAGTTCCTTTGTCGACTGGGCAGTGCTCTCTAGCCTGAGCGGCTAGATGCTCCCCCCATAACGTTTCGGTGCGCGCTCATTCCTCTAATTTCTGTCATTAATAACTCGATAATTATTGCGAATCTCACAAAACGGTATGGGACTTTTATATTTGTCTTAACCCGCTCTATGTCTCCACGAGCTTTGCCAGGTTAGTTATGAGACACCCTGTATAACAGCAACGAGGCAAAATATTTTTTTTTGTAACATGGTATTTCGCGGGACTCGCTGCGATGTTTCGTACGACGCATGCTTTATTAATATATGATAAATTTTTGACAGCCGGATTGCACAATCTGGCTCATCTATGGGGACCTCAATAATAGTTCACGGAATATTCCATATCAATTCGGCGGTTACATATATCGCCAACGAGGCGGAATATCTCTTCTTGTGAAATTATATTCGCGTGAAATTAGATTCACTTGATGCACCTTTATTTATTTATAATAAAAGTGAGACGGCCTGATTGCAAAATCTGGTTTTGTGAGGATCTTGGGAATAGTTTTAGAGATATGCTATAACAATATGTTGATGATATATTACATCAGTGAAATAATATATCTCATTTTGTAAAATAGTATTGTACGTGATCCGCTCCGACGCTTATTCATACATCTTTATTTATTTATGATACATTTTTTACGGCCTGACTGCAAAATCTGGTTTTGTAGGTTTCTCAGGGATAGTTCAAAGAAGATGCTATAACAATTTGGCGGTGAAACATATCGTCAACGAGGTGAAATTTTGCATCTCCTACAATGATTTTTCGATTGATTCGTTCCAACGCCTGGTACGACGGACGCTTTATTTATATATTATAAATTTTTGACAACCGGATTGCAAAATCCGGCTTTATACCCAGACAGCACCGAACATCCACTGGATGTACGTTTCACGTCCAATTTATGTCCATATGTCCGATTTACGTCCGTGGACATAAATTGGACGTAACAAGGATGTCCTTATTCGGACCTGTAGGACGTCCGATATACGTTTATCGGACGTTCTATGTCCGAAGTTGTGACAAACGTACATCCTATGGACGTCTTTTGTAAAAAAAAATGGACATATAACGGACGTTCAATGGACATCCGTGTGCTATCTGGGTACCGATCTCGGGAATAGTACGAAGAAGATGCTGCAACATTTTAGTAATAATACGTATTGTCAAAGAGACGAAATATTGCATCTCGTAAAATGATATTTTGAGTGACTCGCAGCGACGCTTGGTTGCTTTATTAATGTATGATAAATTTTTGACGGTCGAATTACAAAATCTGGCTCTGTAGATTTCTCGGGGATAGTTCAAGGAAGATACCATAATAATTTAGCGGTTATATATATTGTCAACGAGGCAATATATCTGTTCTTGTAAAATTGTATTCCGCCTGACTCGCTGCGATATTTGATACAGCTGACGCTTTATTTGTGTATAATAAATTGTTGACGGACTATTTGTAAAATCTAACTCTGTAGAGATCTCGGGAATAGTTGTAGGAAGATGCTATAACAAGTTCATGGTCATATATTACGTCAACAAGGCAAAATATTACTTCTTGTAAAATGGTATTCCACCTGACTCGCTGCAACTCCTGGTACGGCTGATGCTTTATTTATATATATATTGTAAATTTTTAACGGCCGGATTGTAAAATCTGGCTGTGTAAGGTCCTTAGGGATAGTTCAAGTAAGATGCTATAACAGTTTGGCAATTATACGTATCGTCAATGAGGCGATATTTTGAATCTCGTAAATAATTTTTCGAGTGATTCGCTGCGATGCTTGGTACGGCGGACGCTTCATTTATTTTTCATAAATTATGGACGGCTGGATTGCAAAATCTGGCTCCGTAGGGACCTGGATAATAGTTCAAGGAATATTCCATATCAATTTGGTGGTTACATATATCGTCAACGTAGTAAAATATCTTAAGTTTTAAAGTGGAAGCTGGAAGGTATTCATACTCATACACACGGCAAACTTATTCACTGCTCATATATATGCTAATACTAATGCATTGCTCATGCGAACGCAAGGCAGGAAGGTTAGGCACTATAGTGCAACTGGGCTACACTTTCCGTGTTATCTACACCTACAAATTTTGCCATGCATACATCATATTCGCTTATCATACTTACATGGGCATCTTCTATATTAGTATCTAGAATCGTACAGAGCCTGATTTTGCATTTAGGTTCTTGAAAATTTGTAATAAATAAAAATATAGGCTCGTGCTACACCGCAAGATGAACGTTCATTCAAATTATTTAATCGATTTTTATTTCGACTTTTCCAAAAAACGCTCTGTACGACCCTGCGGACGTTTCTCCTGATTGCAAATATCATACATATAAGGTGATTTTCTCCGTATTTTGTTCATAATTTGTAGTATAATTTTACCTAGTTCGCAAGTCTACGCAAGAGGTCTCTAGTGTGGCTTCTGTAGACTCTCTGTAGAGTACCTCTAGTAAGAGTACGATCACATGGTACGTAAATGAACATGCGACAGAGGATGCGTGATTCGAACAGCCAATCAACGCTTTCCCGTACTTTTCTAACTTTTACCGCATACGTTCCATACTCATATAACCGTAAAGTTTGAATACATGAGAAAAAGTAGTCAAAACTTCAACTAAAAAAGTTAGTTTTGATAATAAGAGTTATGATATAAACCTGGAATTCATGGACGATGAAAGTTTAATGCGTTGTGATGTAAGTATAAAGAAAAAGTGATATTATTTTGTTAATATTAAAATAAACAATAAAATATTTTTTTTTCAAGCGTTACAAGTGCAAATATTGCAATTATTTTCTTCCAAAGGAAAATTTCATTGTAACAAATCACTCATGCTTTGCTGATATTGATATGACAAAAGAGAATATTTTTGTAGATGATGCAAGTGTTATATTTAGAGGTTAGTTTACATTCTTAACAATATTTATTTCTTATATAATATATAAGATATATAATAAGATATATAATATATTTCTTATATAATTTATATAAAAAAATGAATAGTAAATAATTGTTATTGTACTAATACAGCTTCAACAGAAAACTATGTGGAAAATGATTCAACAGGAAAAAAATGTGTTAAGAATAAACAAGACAAACTGTGGAGTGCATATGATGAAGTACTGATAGAAACTGTACGAGCCAGGCCATGTTTATGGAATGTCACAATCCCTGTTAAGGAAAGAGGTCCTTTATCTGTCAAAGAAGCGTGGTTGGAAATAAATTTTGAATTGGAAGGTAAATATTTTATGTAACCACAATTTTCATATCGGTTTCTATTTTTCTTTAATAAAAGTAGTTTTGTTACTTAACTTATAATATTATTTTTATAAAACTCATCGAATGTCTTGTAGATTTGGATGTATATACTGAAACCAAACAAAGACTGATATTAAACTAAAGGTGATTTTCTTTATCATTTAGATGTACAAGACATGTTGATGAACTTCTATAAAAAGTTATTGTAAAATAATATTTATTTATTAATATTTATTACTGTAGAAAAATTTGATGTGGAAAATATAAAAAAGCGCTGGAGAAACCTCCGTGATTGTTATATAAAAGCAAAGAAGAAGACTGCATACACACCAAGTGGTTCAGCAGCACCAATTTCAGACAAGAAAAGAGATGGTTTTCGCTTTATTGATCAAATGCAATTTTTAAATGATTCTATAATTTCAAGGCCGTAAATAATATTCCATCAATAATTAAGCACATTTTATATATCTGGAAATAATAGTCTTTAAAAATTTTATAGTTCTGTTAGTAATGTTTCAAAAGAATCAGAACTAGTAAGTGATAATGTCAACACCGATTGCTCTTCTACGATGCAAGAACCGGTAGAAAATGAGAACAGTATTGCACAAAGCCAAATGTTTAAAGAAGATAATATAAGGGAAAATGGTTCCCAAGTAGGAACAAATGTGTCTCATAGAAGTAATGTCTCTTCACATAATGAGAAACGTTAGTTTGTATTGATTTATATACTCAGAAATACAAATGTATTATTTTAAACATCTGAAAAATATATTATTTATATTATATTGCAATTAAATGTAAATAATTTTTTATTTCAGGACGAAAAACTCAATCGAGCGATGCAGAGTTTAAAAGAGATTTAATGAAAATTTTAAGTGAAACCACCGCATGTCCTGATGATACTGAAGGATTTCTGATTCACCTAGGGGATATTTTAAGAAAATTACCCTACAAGGATTCTAGATTATTACAAACGAAAATAATGAAATATGCAATAGAAGCCGGAGAAAACGCAGGACTTTTTAATAATTAATTTTTTGAAAATGAATTAAAATTATTATTTTTATTATGTTTCTTTCAATTCTAATGGTTTAATTTTTAATAATTATTATGAAACAATTTAAAGTTTAGAATTTATTACAATAATAAAAAACTTTACTATAATACAAAAAAATGAAAATTAAAAGTCATTATTTTCAGCCTTCTCCCATTGCCATTCGACTGCACCTTCATTGAAAAAATAATCAGCGAATCTTTCCCTATAAATTGTTGACAAATTACGTGAAGTTACATCTTGGCAAGTTCTTTTTGGCGAATTTCTTAAGTATGATGTTTGTTGCTTGTCGTTATCATTATAACACAAATACTGTCTTTCTTGACAACGCTTTTTCATTTCGTTAGTAATAATAAAATTATGTAGACATATTGTGGCCAATATAATTTTGTTTGCTTTAGAAATGGAGGTATTTAAAGGCCTACGAAAAATTCTCCATCTTGCTACTAAAAGGCATTTTCAATAATACGTCTTGCTCTGCTACGACGATAATTGTACACTTTTTTCTTTAAATCAAGATCTAATCTTCTTGGGTAAGGTCGCATCAAATACGATGCTAAAGGATATGCTTCGTCGCCAACCAAAACATACGGCAGCTCTTTTTCACCAACTGGAGCAGGTAGAGATATATTTAAAGTGTTTGAATGTAATCTTGATCGAATACTGCTATTAGCAAACACTCCACCATCGCTTTGACGACCTTCTGCTCCAACGTCAAAATGAAGCGATAGTGTGCATTAGAAATACCGGTAAAATTGATGCTATGAGTTTTTTTATAATTAAAATAAGTGGAACCACTATACGGAGGAGCCTGAAATTTAATAAAGCATTTATAACATATTTGTATCAACGCATCTTAAATAAAGGGAAAGCTAAAATGAATTTACCTCTATTACTATGTGCCTTCCATCAATCGCTCCAATACAATGAGGAAAATTCCACAATTTTTCAAAATCTTGTGCTATTTTTACCCATTGTTCTGTAGTTGGAACAGGCATAACTATCTCTTTTAATGTATCCCAAATTTCATGACAAGTTTCATGCACAATTCTAGAAACTGTGTTTGGAGCAAGTCTAAAGGCATATGCAACAGACTTCATGCTATCGCCACTGACTAAATATCTAATACAAACTTCAAGCCTTGTTCGAGAAGGAATTGGTTCCCTAACATAACATTCTTTTTCAATTTTAGGACCCACTAAGGCAAACAGTTTGTCAAAGATATTAACAGACATTCTTAAATAATTAAAATACAATGATGAATCTGTTGTTCTTAACATTGTTATTAAATTGTCACTGTCTCCTTGAAGAAGCCGTTGTTCTACAGTATAAATTGGTCTGACCCATTATCTTCTTTCAATCTTTTTTCTCGATATTATTTCATACAATATAAATAAGTTAGTTAACGTTAACTTTACTTTCTCCTTACGATACGATAATATTGGAATTTTCACATAAAATTTCATTAACAGTTTAATAGTTTTTTATAACATCCATAATTTATTGTCCATTTTTAATACTTGCTACAAAACTCAAGCATTTCATACAGCAGTTCGACATCAATAATGATGAATAATAATTATGAATAAATCAATATATAATAATGCGTGATAATGAATCACGCAAGATTTTAGCGTGCCCTGTGCACATGATATGGGAAAAAGACCGAAATGCGTCACAAGATTTGAAAACAATTTTTATAATAATGTAATTTGAAATAAAATTTGTTCAATACTATCGCAGTAATGTTTCGTTTAACATTTTAAATACTATCTATACTTGAGATTTTATACTTAAGATTAATAAATTATTTTGGAAAAATAATTTTTTTTAATTATATTTTTGCCACATGCGTCATTTTTTGCGTCTTTCACGCATCATGTGAACAGGTCAAACGCAGCCATATGGGATCACAGATGTCTATACTATACTAGATTGCTAACTTCGATCTTTGACCTATACAAGAGCTGTGTCCCGCTTATTTTCCGGTTCGGCCATGAAGACCGCCAAAACATGGCGGCAGTGTGTGTTTGTAGTGCGTACGTGAGTATCTGATGCGTGTGTAGTAGTGCTGTACTGTAAGTATGTGATACCTGATGTGTCTACACTGATGTGTCGTATCTACTTATATTAGTAAAACTGCAAATATATAAACGAGATAATGCCAAGTACATGTTGCATTGTTAATTGCAATAATACGAATAAAAAAGGATATCACTTATTTAAGTAAGTAGAATACATTTATATATAATAAATGTTCGAGGTTTGTAATATGTGAGGGTTATCTTGTAATTAAACATTGTTAATATTATTAATATTATGTTAATATTATTAATATTATTAATATTAGAATGTATTCACTTACAAAAACAACGAAAGATAGAAATCCTGCAAGTAACAGACACAAATTTACAAAATTAATATTATTTAATAACACATAAGTTGCATTTTATTCTTTATATGTATGTAAAAAATATTAATACAAATACTTTGACATATTTTGAACTGTATATATTCAATTTAATTTTAACCTTTACCAAACACTTAGATTAGCAACACCTTATTAATACACACATCTTTAAATGATATTCTTTCTTGTTCGTATTTTTGAAATTTACTTATTCGGCATTATCTCGTTTGTAGATTTGCAGTTTTACTAACATAAATAGTAGTAGACACATCAGGTGTCACATACGCACTACCACGCACTACTACATACGCATCGGGTATTCACATACACACTACAAACACACACCGCCGCCATGCTTGGCGGTCTTCATGGCCGAACCGGAAAATGGGCGGGACACAGCTCTTTTGAGAAGTTAGCAATCTAGTATAGTATAGACATCTGTGTATGGGATAGAAAAATACGGGAGAGCGTTGATTGGCTGTTCGAATCACGCATCCTCCGTCCCGCATGTTCATTTCCGTACCATGTGATCGTACCCTAAGAGTATGGACACCCGTATGTCAGAGTTTTGATTGGTTCCGCCATGTTTGGGTTCGTTTCCGGTAAAGGTCCGTGCACAATGCTAGGCAACAGGCAGTAGAAACAGGGAATAGGACCTTAAAAGTGTGTTAAAAGAAAAGTGAGTTTTTGTATTTTATATATTGTAATTAATTGTAATATCTTTATAAAATATTGTAATATCTTTATAAAATAAATCAGATAATATATATAACAATCAATACAATGTGTAAACATATGTGGGTAATTATCCAGTTTAAGGGCTCCGCCTTAGAATTCGATAAAAATAGACTCAATCAACGCGCATTTTAATAAGGAACAACTTTTTCCTCTGCGAAAATTGTCGCTCTTCACTGCGAAACGAAATAAAAATAGTTAAAGTTGACTGGTATAATAGGTTAGGAAACCTGTCAAGATTCCGGATGGGTTCGCAACTTTCCACGCGCAATGAGGACGGGGGCCGAAGGCCCCCCCTCGCACCCGCCCGTGTGTGTGTGTGTGTACATATGTTGAGGCATTTTTATTTATTAAACCAACGAATATTGTACACTCATTAATTTAGTAAAGCAGAAAATTTTAGTACAATTTTAATAAGGTAAATATTTCATCAAATGTCATTAACTTATCAGTTTCGTCATAAAAAAATTATTAACAATTAAAGATCATAACTATCGATTCCACATTTATTTTTAATTTTTTAAATTTATCTTATTACAATTGTACTAAAATTTTCTGCTTTACTAAATTAATGTACAATATTCGTTGGTTTAATAAATAAAATGCCTCAATATATGTACACACACACACACACACACACGGGCGGGTACGAGGGGGGGGCCAAAGGCCCCCCTCCCGCACCCTCCCCGTCCTCATTGCGCGTGGAAAGTTGCGAACCCATCCGAAATCTTGACAGGTTTCCTAACCTATTATACCAGTCAACTTTAACTATTTTTATTTCGTTTCGCAGTGAAGAGCGACAATTTTCGCAAAGGAAAAAGTTGTTCCTTATTAAAAAACGCGTTGATTAAGTCTATTTTTATCGAATTCTAAGGCGGAACCCCTAAACTAAATAATTACCCATATGTGTATATAGGTTATATAATAATAATCTGCCCTTTATAATAGTATCAAGATGCCAAAATGTGTTGCCAAAAGTTGTAAAAGTGCATCTACTAAAGGAATTAAAATGTGTTCCTTTTCACAAGAAAGGGAAATATAAATATTGTGGATAAAAAATGAAAGATCGAAGTAACGGGCAGCTGAAAAAGGATTCACGTTTATGTGAGGTATGTTATGTTGTCTGTTAATATATACACAATATAATTATGTGTCTGTTATATTATATACACAATTTATTTATTTTTATATTCAATATCTTTTTCCTTCATTTTGTTGTTTGCATAGTTTCATTTTGCTAATGATCAGTGGGAAACAATAAGAGTCGATGGCACCAAAAAATTAAAATGGAAAGCTGTACCAACATTATTGGGGAAGATACTCAAATTCGAATAGATGTAATAAAAAATAAACGTCAGCAAAGTATACAATTAAAGTCTTATCTACAATGACTGTAAGAATATGGCTGTAAGACTGTAAAACGCGAAATGAATTATTTTCATTTGCCGACAGCTTACGTTACAACCTTACAATCATATTCTTACAGCTATTGTACCCTTAAAAGCTATGATACAGTTAAATTTAAAATATATAACATTGATATAAAAGTAGTAGAATATTTTCAGTTATTTATATAAATATGTTTATTCATATCAAATGAACAAATGAATATGCTATCTGTTTTTAAAGAACTATCTATCCAGGAAGAGAGTTTATCAACAAGTGAAAACATAAATCAAGTGAATACAAATGCAAACAAGATGTTGGAGTTACCAATAGATACAACAAAGATGTCGGCACAATATAACAGTATAGAACAGAAAGGTGAAAATGTACAAACTGAAGAAACTGAGACTGAAGTTGGATCTATTCAACAGTTGACATTAAGTCATTCAAAAACAATTCCTGAGTATGAGCAAAGATTAGAAAAATTAGAAAAAACATTTGCTTCAAAGTGAGAGGAGCAGAAGAGGAATGGTGAAACAGTTGCGGAACATGAAAATAAAACTGAAGAGACTACAGCAAGAAGTACGAACAATGAAACATATAAAAATATTAAATACGTTTTTTAATGAAAATCAAATTAAATTTATTACTAACGCTTATAAAAAAATGCCATGTTGGTGTAATGATATTAATCATATATTAATCAAGGTATATTAATCAAGGCTTATCGCTTAAAATTTGCTTGCGGATCGCATAGGTATGAATAATTACTCCGAAATAATTTCTCATTGCCTTCTCTTCGAACTCTAACTCGCCATTCAGAACATTTAAAGTTTTTACCTGGTGTCTCTGAAGAAATATTTAAGTTTTTAGAGCTTAAAATAGCTCAATTTCAAAATAACATAAACAAAGATTGCATTGTTATCATGGATGAATATAACACCTGGAAAATTTTATTGTACGTCATCAAATATAATTTTTGGTGAATTTACAATACCAAGTACAAGTGAGAGTAATATACAAATGAGTATTCATTGCGAAAAATCTATTGCAAGTCATGCAATAGTGTTTTTACTTGGTGGAATTGCTAGTCGATGGAAACAGGTTGCTGCATATGAATTTCTTATATCTGACTCCATACATAGCCGAGTTTTTAAATCCATCCAGATACAGTTCCTGCACGGCACCAGAAAAGGAAAGAAATATTGTTTATATTATACTTTATGACGTTTTCTTAACATCTCCAATGTCAACGCGATTATCATTAAGTTACTTTATTACTTTGCTATTTGTGAAATTGTATTATCATCATGTAGGAAAAATATATCTTTTATATAAAATAATAACTCAATTATATTTCTACTTCAATTTTACAAGTCCTATCTTACAATTATAGTAACATAAATGTAATTTCATAAGTCATCAAAATTAAATTTAAATATCTTGCTTGATATCTCTTTTAGCAGAATTTAAACATTCCGCGCATACAGATGAATTTCCGGTTTTCTGGTCTCAAACATAGCTGCTATAGGGACGGTGTCTGTATTCTTATTAGAGGTACTCTAGACTCTCTGATCTGCACAGAGACCTCTCATGGAGACCTGTGAAATAAGTAGGCATTTCCTGTTTTTCAACCAAAATCATTCAGAATTATTTTGTAAGTATGATATTTGTAAATAGGAGCATATAGAGATATACTGTTTTTTTAAAGATTTAAAATAAAAACGTAAAGTTTAATTTACTAGAGTTGCACTTACAAGTAACACTACCCAACTGATACTCACCGATTTGAATGAAACTTAACATACTTATTAAATACCGAAAAATATTAAATACGTGTTTTTTTGTTTCGGCTAAATACGCTTTCTAGGAGTAAAAAGCACCCCTCAACCTCTGGAGGTGGAGACAGTTATGGTTAATTATTTCTGAAACGATACATTTTCTGAAAAAAGTGCTTAGGACCAAAGTTGTAGAGTTCAAAGTGATGTACTTGATGGCGACTTAGAAGTCGACCTTGAGGTCGATTTTCAAGGTCAATTAAATTTGGAAATAATTAGCCGTTGCCGGACTTTGACCACATCCTGTATCTATAATCAGTAATTTTATGCATTGATTAAATCTGTTTTCAGAATTGATTTGTTGCGTTATTTTCCTAAAAAAAGAAAAAACCTGACGTAATAGGAAAATAGGCGCAAATTTATAGAAAAAATAAGAAGGAGAAAAAAGTTTTGTAAGTAACTTCAGAATAGAAGTAAAGATAAGAAAACATAAAATGTCACTCTAATTGTAAGTTAAACATTACCTTCATGCTATATTAGAAATTTTCTAATTTTTTTCAATTTTTATTGCTACTCTGGAGTTATCCACAATACCTTTCACTCTTTATTTTGTATTAGGATTTCATTCGGACATGATCAATTATTATTTTCCCGACTGTCGTTGAGCAAGCATTTTCCAAAATTACTTCTTAATCACTTATTTGCTATGAGCTATCTTGCTCGTGAATTTCGTTCGAATATAGTCCAGGCCTGCACACGGGAGCGCTCCCGGAGCACGCGTGGAGGAGACTATGCCCCCACTCCGCGGGGTTACCTCTTCCCGTCTCTCCTCTCTAGCGCCTCGACCTACCTATCCCCTCTACACGGCCGTCACTCTCATCGGTTCTCTCACGCTCTGCGTTTTATTCCGTATTCGATAAGCGGTACTCTCAAGTTCGCTCTATTGTTTTACAATGTCGAATAGACAAAGGAAGATGTCTCCGTATGCAGCATGGGAAAATGATTATTTCGTCATTAAAAATAATGACTCATTACTATGCCTCATATGTAAAAGTAGATTCCACAGTTTTAAAAAATATAATGTACAGACATTACGCCAAATTCCATAAACTTGAATTTCAGCAATACAGTGGTGAATTTCGTGAAAACAAAATACGCGAATTGAAAAATGAAATAGAGTCATTATATAATTCTCCCAAAACTTATGATTTTAATATTGATAAAAAAACAAATTTTGCATGCTTCATATGACATATCGCTCGAAATAGCTCGGAACAAAAAGTTTTTCTGATGGCGAGATAATTAAACAATGCGCAATTAAGATGGCCAAAGCCTTCAAGGAAGAGGCGTTGGCTGAGAAATTTGAATCTGTTTCCCTTTGCCGTACAACAGTTGTACGAAGAATTAATGATATTGATAAGTACTTATGTCATAAATTGAAAAATATAATAGACAATGCAGTTTATTATTCTTTTTGTTTGGACGATAGTACCGATATATGCAATATCAGTCAACTTTCTATTTTTATCAGAACAATACAAGAGGATTTTGTTGTAAATGAAGAAATGCTAGGTTTGGCATCTTTGCATAATACGACGAAAGGGTCCGATATTTATGATGCTTTTATTAGAATAAGTAAAGATTTTAATATAAATTTTAATAAATGTACTGCCATTGTCACAGATGGTGCCCCAGCAATGGTTGCCTTGAAACAGGGTTTTTGTGGTATATTGCAAACAAATGGTATCACTTGTTTAACTGTCCATTGTTTAATTCACCAAGAGGCGTTATGTGGAAAAGCCATTAAGATGTGCCGTGCAATGAAATTAGTTACCTCAATTACTAATTTTCTTAGAGGTGGAAATAAATCGTTGTCGCATAGAAAACTTAAGAATTTCTTACAAGAAATTAATGCGACATACAAAGATTTGCCCCTTCATTGTGAGGTACGATGGCTAAGTGCTGGAAAATGCTTGCAGTATTTTTTTTCTATAAGAAAAGAAATTGTCCAATTTTTACAAAAAGAAGTATCCAGTGATACTATTCATTTTGAAAAACAATTAATGGACAAAGATATATTGAGTGAATTAGCTTTCTTAACGGATTTCACTCAGCATATGAACAATTTGAATTTGAATTTGCAAGGCAAAAATAAATCAATTTGCGATGTCATTCATTTTGTAAATGGCTTCCAAATGCAACTAAATATATTTAAAAGAGAAATTGAAAATGAAGAATTTCATCACTTCCCTTGCTGTGAAGAAATAAAAAAAGAGTATCCCGATATTGATTTTACTGGTTTAGGTGATTTAATTAACGAAATTGCAATCGAATTTTATTTTCGATTTAAAGAATTACTCGTGTTAAAAAACGATGTTTTATTATTTCATAATCCTTTGACCGTGCCAATTGAGAACCAGAATATTAAATATCGGGTAGAATTATGCAATTTGCGAGCGGATCCTTATCTTTTCACTAAGAAAGAAACGGGTATCGATTTTTTTAAACTTCTTTCGAAAGATTTATATCCCGAGCTTCGAACTTTTGGTCTTAAAATGGCTTCGATGTTCGGCACTACCTACTCATGTGAAAGTGCTTTTTCTTTAATGAAGTTAATAAAAAACAAACACAGGGCTGCATGAACCGATTATCAATTATCAAATTTAATGCGCATTGCGACAAGTAAAATACAAATTGATATAAAAGAGCTCGTGGAAATATATTACGATTATCAATTTGCATAAACAATTATTTTATAAGAATAAGTAAAAATTGGTTCTGAAACATTAAAATTATAAATATAATATTTTTATATAGTTTATGGACTGCAGTTTAAAACTACATTTTGCAATACTCTGTAATTGTTTGTTTTAATTTGATATATATATTAGGTTTAATTATAAAAATATATATGTTTATAAAAATGTATATGTTTATATATATATTTAATATATAACAATTAACAAAGAAATTTAAAAATACAAAAGCATAAAAGGAGAAATATTAATTAAAAAAAATTAAATTAAAAACAAAAACATAAAAAAATAAAAACAAAAAAATATAAAAAAAATAAAAACAAAAAAATATAAAAAATTAAAAAAGTACAAAAAAATAAAAATGGGATCAAAAGTTTTACCTCGTCGTTGATCCTGGAGTAAAAACTAAGCGTAAAACCAAGAAAAATATCAACTTAAATAATTTTGCAACCTCCGTTATCGTCACAAAACTCGCTTTATTGATGTTTTGGTCATAATAAAATATCTAATTATATATATATATATATATATTCACAATGATAAACGGGTGCATGCACAACTATGTTTCCGTCTGTACGCGACGTGTGAGCCTGTTCTGTAATGTGCTCTTTGCTTCTTCTTTCTTGCTCTTTTTCTCTTTTTAACTTAAAACTTAAGTTAGAAAGAAATAAAGAGCAAGAAAAAGGAAGGAAAAAGCACATTGTAGAACTAACCTTACAACGCTTGAGTGATCGAATACGGCCCTAGTCTACGCATGTATAGTGCGTGCTCTAAGAGGTTTCGCCCATGCGAATGGAAGGGGAAGCGGAGAAGCACGAGCTACAGTTTCTGGCCCAGGCCTGGAATATACCATCAACCATCATTTTCACATCTGTACTTGGGCGAGTGTTCATTGTTTATAGTTTTACGTCAATTGTTCTTACAACTGCTGTTTCTTGTGAATGTTTTCAAAATTCTTTCAGAAAGTATTTACTGCAAGTACTTTTCCATAATTTGTTCCTACGACTATTTTTTGTGTTAATTTCATTTAGGCTTATATAATCATAAACTCTGCTTTCTATGAATTTACTTTGAATCTCTGTTATAATATTATTGAGGCATTGTTAATCTGTAAAATTTCATAATGTCATTAAACCCAAAACATATTTTAAAGTTATGCCTCACTTTCGAGGACCCAGTGTACAATATAGAATCTAGAATAACAGATGAAGAAAGATCAATCGTTTCTCAACTTGCAGATTTGATAAAAGACGTTATCAATTTTGATATATTTAAAGAGACTTATGATACTTTGAACTGTATTGATGCTAGTGTGATTCCTGATGCTGTTTTAGTTGAAGACAATTCAGAAGATGTTTCGGAAGTTGTGCAAGACGATACAAAATTCAGAGAAATTGTAGACATTGATTATAAGAAGAGAGTAATTGAATTTTGGCGATCGGGACAAAAGAAAAGAAGGAATATAGAATCAGTTAAAAACCGATTTAAGAAAGTTATAAATGTAACACAATTGTACCGATGGAAAGCACAAGTTGCTGAGGGTGGGTCGAGGACTGATAAATTGTTATTATCTCTCAATACATTCTAGAACAATTTAACAGTGCATCTGATCGAAATCTACCCATTCACGATTTAGATCTACAGAGATGAGCCTTGAAAGCAAAAGAGGTAGTTCATTTGCCTTCTCAATTATTTATGGCTTCATCAAAATAGATACACGACTTTAAAATACAACATGGTATTGTTTCAAGAAAAACAAATAAATTTGTGATACAAGCGCATATTTTAAATAAAACAATTATTGGAACAATCTTCCAATTATGTAAGTCAAGTTAAACTAGAGATAGGCTTACTAAGAACAGCAAACGTTTACAATTCAGATCAATCAGGGTTCAATTTGGAAACACATGCTGGTCATACATTAGCCTCAAAGAGTTCTTTGAAAGTGGAGTGTCTTGCTCAATCTTTGAATTCCTTGATTCACAGTTACACAATACAACCTTTAATATCTGCTAATGGTATCTTGAAATCCCCCTTATTAATAGTTCTGCAAGAAACAAATGGCCGTTTCGGACCGATAATACAGAAGTCAATGTACAAAGCAGATAATATCCTCGTTTTCGCCACAAAATCTGGAAAATTGACATCCGACATTGTTATTAAATGGTTTGAAGATGTCTTCTTGCCTAATGCTGGCAAGAAGTCTATTTTGTGTTTGACTCTTGGTCAGGACAAACAAAAAAAATTTGAAAATATAGACGGTAATAATAGACAAGGGTAATAAAGAAGTAAAAATCCTTACAATTCCTGCGGGAACAACTGGCTTCACTCAACCATTGGATGTCTATGTATTCAGACCGTGGAAAAACTTGAAACAATTTTCGGACTTAATTCTCTTATACAACTATGATATTAACCTACATTTGAGGAATAACATTCTCAAAATTCAATCATTAATCCACAATCAATTCTCATCACCCCGATTCCAAAACATGATTAAATATGCCTGGTGAAAAAGTGGATATATTGAAGAAAAACCAGATAGATATGAAACGCCTGTTGATTTCTGTTTAAAGAATTGCGGGACAGTCTGCAAAATCTGCAATAACATTGCATTAATAAAATGTGCGTGGTGTACTAACTCTCTTTGTATGGAGCATTTTTTTGCGAAAGAAGATAAAGCTATTCCTCATTATTGCTATGAATATAAAGAATAATGCCAATTCTCATGGAATTTATACTCATAGACTATGAAAAGAAATTATGAAATCTTGCCTTCACTGGCTGGATTTCGCTCACATCTTGCCTTCACTGGCTGGATCTCGACCATATCTTGCCTTTACTGGCTGGATCTCGATCACATCTTGTCTTATTTGAATAAATAATTAACTTTCAATTCCTTTATTGATCGAATTATTGACTGATCTTGCCTTAATTGGTTGGATCAATGAACAATTTTAAATTGCAGAGGCTTGTTTTATTTACAAACCACCAACGTTCTGAATGTAAATTTTTACGCTCTATCGATTCTCGGGATGAAAAGTAAACTTCTCCCTTTGAAAAACATGAAATGACTTTCAAATGACCTTGAAAATCGACCTCAAGGTCGACTTCTAAGTCGCCATCAAGTACATCACTTTGAACTCTACAACTTTGGTCCTAAGCACTTTTTTCAGAAAATGTATCGTTTCAGAAATAATTAGCCATAATTGTCTCCACCTCCAGAGGTTGAGGGGTGCTTTTTACCCCTAGAAAGCGTATTTAGCCGAAACAAAAAAACACGTATTTAATATTTTTCGGTGTTTAATAAGTATGTTAAGTTTCATTCAAATCGGTGAGTATCAGTTGGGCAGTGTTACTTGTTAGAGTGCATAACCAGATTATGAGCTGGTTGTATTAACTTCTTAGTAAGTTAACTGATAAGTTAAATCATATGTTTGTCTTTGTTTTTCCTTCAACTTAGACAGACATATGATTTAATTATTAGTTAACTTCAAGAAATTGGAACAACCGGCCCTATATTATTAAATATAAAATTTTGAAGAGCCTAATTGTAAAATTCATCTCTTTACTTTGACAATGATATAAGGAAGACACTGAAAATCTTTGCCAAGAGTAAAATATGATGTCTATAGGAAATATCGACCAATGAGCGTTTAAGAAATAATTATGTTATGCTCTGTAAATCAACATGGCAATTTCTTCCTCGACGCTCATTAATCGAGACGATTTCATACTGCTTATGTATCTATGTCATTTTATGCGCAATGGCCCTTAGACCCATGGCACATTAAATAATGTATGCAGTAAACAAAACAATAAGCAAACTCATAGACTACTCATAGTTGATAATATAATGCTAGACACTTCAACAAATTTAATTTATATTATTTATATTAATTTCAACAAATTTAATTTATATTAGGTACAAACACTTATATAATACATCACCAATTTTATATCTCATAAAAACTCAACATTTATAAGTTTCACATTTTATTTCTTTTATAAAGAATTTTTATAGAGAATTTTTTTTAAATGCTAATTAATATAACGTTTCCACGTAACGCTACTAACAAATTAAAAACCTACTTTAATATTTATGCTTATGCTTACCTCAATGCCTCGTTAAAAGAAAATACATTTTATTATTTTCTGATTTATCTTTACATATTTATACTACATCTACTCTCTTTTCCAATATTTTTTCTTACATTTCTGTATCAATTAATAAAAATCGTTATTTTAAGCTTATAAGGAATCCTTTAATGTGGGATTCTTGAGTCTCTTTATGTTAATATATTTCGAAGAAAAGCGTCTAAATATAGACTACTGAGAAAACTACTACATTATTCTTCATCGAGGTTCAATTTATGCTTGATTTCTAACGCGAGCTTGTAGCCCAGCTCCGGTCGGCGATCTTTTCCCTCTACCATCGCCTTCACCTGGCTGGAATTAACTATCACGCCGTTACTAGCTATCACAGTGGCCTTGGTCTTTTCGATGTCAACGAGATCTACACCGCGACTACAGTCGTCAATTAATATCGTGCGATAACCGCTGGTGAGCGCATCCACGGCAGTCGCTCCTACGCATACGTCGTATGCTAAACCGCAAATGTAGATATCGGTAGCACCCTTCTGCTGCAATTGCGACGACAATGTTGTCTCTGTCAGTTTCTTGTTATCCCAGAACACAGAATACGAGTCCACTTCTGGATTCGTACCCTTGTAAATTTTAATCGCATCTTCGACAATTTTTAAATCTTTGTGTAGCTCTGCACCCCACGAGTCCTGTACACAGTGACGCGGCCATAAGCGTTGCTTTAGCAACGGCGGCCCGCGGAATGTCACAGTATCGTATACCCGCGCCGCTTCTTTCGAAATACCGCTACTAACGTCTACTTCTCTGTAATAATGATAATCAGTTATCAATAAATACCGAGGCAATGACAGTAATCATAAATAATTAAGCTGTTGTTCAACTTACAAGGAAACCGTCAGAATAGTATCTCACCGATTTTGATAGGCTTTGGATATGTTGTAAAGCAACAAAAAATATTAGACACTTTTTTTTATCGGTATATCTCAAAGTTTAGAGTTTAGAGGATGAAACAATCCCTAAACCGAACTAACATTTTCATTTTTTGCGAATATCTTCTAAACTGTGAGGTATATGAAGAAATATTTTCCATAAAAGTTTTACAGTACTTTATACTGTTTGCAACAATATATTCAGATTTTTCAAAAGTGTCAAAATTTTCAAACTCCCTCCCTCCTATTCCTTTTATTTTGCAAAATTAAAAAATTTTGAGGACAAAAATTAAAGACCATTTGATGCCAAATCCGTCCATATACAGGGTTCTCAAAAAGTCTTCCAACGATAAAATATCTCGAAAACAATCAGTTTTTGGAAAAAATGTTTCAGGCAAAAGTTGTAAGGTTTAAAATGATCTATTTACTGATCTTATCAGCTTGACCTTGGCTAGCGTCAATAAGGTCAGAGCAAAGTCACCTTGAACTTTTCAAATAGAATGCCCTACTTTTTTTGGCATATTCTTATAACGTATTTCAAGAGCTTTCCAAAACACTACAACAAAGTATTTTTTTGTTAAGTACATCCCGAGTTATAAAGCTTCAAAGTTACAGTACCGTCGGCATTAGCATTACCCAAGGTGTACCGCGTGGAGGTTGCACGATCGAATTTACACCTCTTGTGTGTGTACACCTCTTATGTGTGTTTGTGTGCGTGTGTGTGTGCCAATTAATTTTAACACACACACACACACATACGCACGCACGCACGCGCGCGCAGACACACACACGCACACACACACACACACACACACAAGAGATGTACACACACAAGAGGTGTAAATCCGATCGTGCAACTTCCACACGGTACACCTTGGGTAATGCTAATGCCGACGGCACTGTAACTTTGAAGCTTCATAACTCGGGATGTACTTAACAAAAAAATACTTTGTTGTAGTGTTTTGGAAAGCTCTTGAAATACGTTATAAGAATATGCCAAAAAAAGTAGGGCGTTCCATTTGGAAAGTTCAAGGTGACTTTGCCCTGACCTTGTTGACGCTAGCCAAGGTCAAACTGATAAGATCAGTAAATAGATTATTTTAAACCTTACAACTTTTGTCTGACACATTTTTTCTAAAAACTGATTGTTTTCGAGATATTTTATCGTTCGAAGACTTTTTGAGAACCCTGTATATAGCATATTGTCATTAAGATTAATTCTCTTGCATATTATAGTATGAGGAAATATGTATAAGAAGCAATTATTAAGTACAGCGCAAATGAAATGAAATAACACCTATCTACAGCGGGACGCCTCGATATCACATCGTTTTCCTAAAAATTAATCATAACCATATTGTATTATTATATATGGATGGATTCGGTATCAAATGCTCTTTAAATTTTGTTCTCATAAAATTTTTTAATTTTGCAAAATTAATGAGTAGGGGGAAGAGGTTAATAATGTTAACACTTTTGAAAAATTTGAATATACGTGCAAACAGTATAAAGTACTGTAAAACTTTTGTAAGAAACATTTTTTTCGCATACCTCGTAGTTTAGAAGATATTCGCAAAAAATAAAAATTTTAGTTTTTTTTTAGGGATTGTTTCACCCTCTAAACCTTGAGATACGCCGGTAAAAAAATACATATATAATATTTTTTGTTGCTCTACAACGTATCTAAAGCCCATCAAAATCGATGAGGGACAGTTCCAACGGTTTCCTTGTTGGTTGCAAAATATTACATTAATTTTAACGCTCAAGTGTGCTGAATTTTCATTTTGATTTTAACCTCGTACTATTTGAAGAAAAAAAATAGACCAGGGTCGGTCGGAAAATCCATATCCTACTATTTTTAGGATCGTTCTTTCGAATGGCGTAGTCGAAGTTCCCGAAAAATGACGTTTAACTCTTTCATTTTTTCAAAAGTACCCAAAGAAATGCAATTTTCGTAGTACGATTTTTTTTTAATTGAAATTCACTATGATACCGGTTTTTAAGCATCTTTTAAGGTATCAAGAACGTGTTTCCGATACTTTTACTTCAAAAATATGCATTGAAATATTTTAATTTTGATTGTTTTGGAATTCAAAATGGCGTCTGAAAGCCAAAAATTCTTCGAAATTGGGAAAATACCCACATTTTTGGATTTTTTAGGTTTCTTCATAACATAATCGTGTAAAATAAGTTATTCAAAGCTATGGATCACTTATTCTGGTTTATAGAAACAAAATTAGCCCATGTTATCAAATTTCAAGATGGCGGCTCCTATATGGTAAGTAGAAATGCGTTATATTTTGAGTTTTATTAGAGACCAGAAGTGTAGCAAGTGTTGCCAATCGTCAACCTACATGGTGTTGGACATCACTGAACCCAAATCCGGGGTCAGTTTTGCAAAATTCAAAATGGCGGATCTAATATGGCGGACTTGATATGTAAAATTTGAAATTTTGGAAAAACAAAAATTACCATCGTATTGTACGTAGAATTTTAAATCAAAACTATTTTTAATACTTTTTTATTACGTGCGTTGTTTTTGAGAAAAAAAATTCCCAAAGTACGAGTTTTGTCAAAATTATTCAAAATTCTCGTATCTTTAAATTTTTTCTCTTAGGCTTCGATAATTTTCTGCAAACTATGGTTCATATAAAGCACGCGTGAAACAAATGTATGACGATATGATATTATGATGTCCATGTATGTTTCTCCATATTATTAACCATAATTTGAAAATGAATAAATATATATAAATGATTCTCAAGATCGTCCACCTCCTCGCGGTGAGAATCGGGCAACTTTGGATATTCAAAGGCAAAGAGCGTGTTCATAATAAGAATTTGGAATAATTTTGACAAAACTCATACTTTGGGAATTTTTTTCTCAAAAACAACGCACATAATCAAACAAACAGTAAGAATAGTTCTGATTCAAAATTTTGCAGAATACGATGGTAATTTTTGTTTTTCCAAAATCTCAAATTTTACATATCAAGTCTGCCATATTAGATCCGCCATTATGAATTTTGCAAAACTGACCCCGGATTTGGGTTCAGTGATGTCCAACACCATGTAGGTTGACGATTGGCAACACTTGCTACACTTCTGGTCTCTAATAAAACTCAAAATATAACGCATTTCTACTTACCATATAGGAGCCGCCATCTTGAAATTTGATAACATGGGCTAATTTTGTTTCTATAAACCAGAATAAGTGATCCATAGCTTTGAATAACTTATTTTACACGATTATGTTATGAAGAAACCTAAAAAATCCAAAAATGTGGGTATTTTCCCAATTTCGAAGAATTTTTGGCTTTCAGACGCCATTTTGAATTCCAAAACAATCAAAATTAAAATATTTCAATGCATATTTTTGAAGTAAAAGTATCGGAAACATGTTTTTGATACCTTAGAAGATGCTTAAAAACCGGTATCATAGTGAAAATTTCAATTAAAAAAAAAATCGTACTACGAAAATTACATTTCTTTGGGTACTTTTGAAAAAACAAAGGGTTAAATGTCATTTTTCGGGAACTTCGACTACGCCATTCGAAAGAGCGGTCCCAAAAATAATAGGATATGGATTTTTCGACCCTGGTCTACCTTTTTTCTTCAAATTAAAAAAGCTATTCGTTTTATCACTATCACTTTTTTTCTTGTATTTAAAGCTCCTGGATTTTTATTGCAGCTATTTTAATTTATGACATCAGAAGAAAAAAAGCATACTCAAATTTCTACAAAGTGCATCGAAATAATGAAACCCATATAACACAAAGTTGCAGCAACATTACTGCAACAATGTTGCTGCAACTTTCTGTGCTGTATGAGAATATATCTAAAAAAATGACATTTGTAATTGACAAGCAAATCTATCAAATATTCTAAATACTTTCCTTTTACTTCAACAGTCAATAAGTTATTATAAAATTAATGTAATAGGATCATGAGAAAAAATAGGAATTTTGAATATGCATTTTCTCACTTCTGACATATATTCATACGTTAAGATGGCCACAGTGAGTACTCAAAAAACCTTAAGTACTAAAATATCTTAAGTATAAAAAGCCATATAAGCAACTAAAATTACATAACATCAATTATTTGTGTATAATCAGATTCTTACAAGATACGAAATTTTATGTAATTTATAATATATTACCTAAGATGTAAATTATCGATAAAAGATACATGATCCACAGGATGCCAATCCAAAGAATAAAATACAACATCAAACGGCACGGTTTCTAGCAGTCGATTAATTGGTTCAATTACTTCGGAACCGTCGTGTTGCGCAGCACATTGCTTTATGTTCAGAGAACCTGTTATGAAATCGTTTTGCACATCGACGATTAAAAAGGCACTTTTGGGTCGAGTGCACGTTTTGATCCATCGATTCCAACATACCTACGATAATACGCATAGACAGAGATATATGTCAAACATATAAAATAATTTTATAAAATAATTTTTTTCGGTATATTGTAATTGTTAGTTAATCGATTTACCCCAGTAAACAGTCTGTTAGCAGTATGCTGACAGACTGGTAATAAATTCGACCAGGATCTATCGATAAATCTATAGATATCTGTATCCACATTTGACTCATATTCTGTCTCTTAACAAAAATCTGATAGCAGGTTGACAATAGAAAGCGAATAGAATCTGCAGTATGTTCTATTTAAATATATTGGAACGATAAATCATGCTCAGTTTTTGCTGTCAGTTTGTCACAATAATTTGCCGTTAAATCTTACTGTATTCTTGCTAATAATGACAAAGCCTGCAGCAAACGATATTATGCAAAATTTGTTTTTACAGGTTTGCTATCTATGATATCAATCAATTAACCATATAGATCAATAAATCAAAATTAGTAATTATAGAGATAAGCGTTTATAAAGCAGATAACTGTTTTATAGAAGACATTTTTAAAAATGTATTTTTAAAAATGTTTTTCTATTAAAACTATTTATAAAAAAAAGAAAAAAAATAATGCATCGTCTATATATTCTTGAAATATTTTCTTGTTTAAAAACGTCATCAAGTTACGTCTTTAAGTTGAACAAATAATACGATAAAAATTTTCAAGCATAGAGGTCCTCTCAACGTACCTCGAATTCTTCCCTATCGATCATGCCATCGCCTTTGAGATCAAAAATTGAATATACTTCCCGCAATTGCTCCTCCTCGAGCCCATAGATTTTGCCGCGGTCGTTACGAAATAAAGCGCGGCAGATAAGTTGGAACTCTGAGATCGACAGAAATCCGTCGCCGTCTTTATCGAAGGCGTTAAAACATGCGTCCATGTCTCCGTCACTCTGTCGACTATGACGCGTTTCCAGGAGCTACTCGTTTAATCAATACTCATATTAGTGGTATGTGTTGCTTATACCTAGACTATTCTAATGAATGTATGTCTATAAAATACTGCAGTATTTTATACATACATTATTCTTGTTCTTTCTGTCGTTACTGCAATACTCTACAATCCTCTCAAAGAGTAAGTTATATATCCTGTACGAATCATCCTTTTAATTTATCTTGGTTTATTATTAAAAATGTACAAACTTCCTTATAAAGTTAGTTCTTTATTTGCTATCTTGTCTTTTACATTATAAGATTATAAGTAAAAGGAATACTAAACGAGTTTTATTTGATAATATAAATCTGACAATGATATAAATTTGATCAATAATCGAATTCTGCATATGTTCAGAAAATCAAATTATATATATTTTGTGAAGCTTAATCCTGGCTCTATTTATTGGATCTATGGACTCCAATTTGTAGTATTGTATAAATTACAATATGGTCATTTTATGTTTTACTCCAACAATATTCAGCTATGCTAAATCATTGCTGCGCAAGTCTCTGATGTGTCAATAGTGATATATCAACCATTGCTTCAGATTCAAGCAGTTCACTTACTGTATATTTCATTGATTCTTCATAAGCATATGTCACTGATGTATCAGACAATAGCATGTTGCACTGTGCTAGAATTAATATGCAGTTGCGCAATCGTGTGCATACCTCACGATTTTCTTGTGGAATATGTGATAAATCTTCTGTAAAACCACCTTCTGACCTGTCAGCATTTTGAGCATTTGCACCAATCCATACATAACCATTGTTACCAAGTATTAAACTAGTACTATTTTCTAGATAATGAAAATGTGTTTTCTTGCGCTGTATCAACATTGGTGGTACTTTCAGCATTATACCCTGAGACAGTTTGCCATATTTCAGTACACGTGTGTGCAGCGAGAGTGAACTATCAGCGAAGATTGACTGTACTTCTGCACAAACCAAATCTCCTTCTTGCAAATATCTTCGCATTGTTTGTTCATCTTCAGCTGATCTTCTCCTCTACGAAAGGTTAATATATTTTATTCAATATTATTTTGTTACTGAATAATTAAGTGAATAAGGAAAGAAAGGAAGAATAATAAAAATCTCATAAAATTATTAATTACGCAACTAAAAAAAATAACAGTCTCAAATATATTAAATTACAAAATAGCTACAATACATATACAATGTATCTAGGATTTTCTAATAGTATGTATTATTGATTTTATTTATTTAAAGAATTTTATCATTAAAAAAATTAATGCAATATATCAAATTAATAATTGGTCATTAACAGTAACTTTGAATTAATTATCTGAAAACAAATTCTTATGAATATAATTATAAGATATTAGAAATCTAATAATATTCTGTGTAAAGACTATTCTATCAATCAATATATTTTGCACACATACAAAGAAACTAAGGTAATATCTATACTTCTTACCAATTCACCACCTGGAAGGTTAACACTGGATAATAGCAATACAGAATCAAGCTTTGAATTTGTATCAACCTTCCAACGTTTTTGTTGCACTTCCGTTATTCGTCCCACTATAACATCACCAATTTCACCTTGATAACGCGCCTTCAAAGGTCTAACTGATATAAGTTTATTTACTTTCTCTAACACTCCACCAACTGCAGCGCGCAATGTATTGTCCTCATCGACATAAGTTCCATGACCTCTAACAAAATTATATATTTAACTATTACAATCATATCGCACACAACAAAGGTTCATCTACCTCAAAAAATCCAGTTGATTAGAAATCTCCTCTCCGGGTGTGTAGAGTCGAGTCTGGATACCTTCATTACCTGTTAAATTAAAATCTACTCTATTCATCGCCAGTCGAACGTTTATAACTGGATACTCGTCCATTGTTCACTTCGATATTATTTATAAGATTTAATTTTCACGCTATTACTTATATAACCGTCGTTATTATATATGCTGATAAATAAAGTAATATCAAGATTACTTCAATTCAATTCAATAGATGGTTCTAAGCAAGCTGGGTACTGCTCCAACGCCACTTTCTCGGTGTAAAGGCTCATCTACATTAGCTGTAAAGGCTTGTCTACATTAGTTATAAAGGCTCGTCTACATTAGCTGTACGGTCGCGGCATAAAAGTTGTCACTTTTTTTTTTAATGACTTTCGGGACGCATCCCGACTCGAGAAAAATGAGAGCTACTGCTCCACCTGCGGAGCACGCCTGCGCAGTAACTCACAACGAAATGTGAGAATAAAATATATGTCGTATGACATAAGTACGTCAATAATCATCGCGTTCAGCGGAGAAAACCGCTCAGTGAACGATTAGTAACTAAAAGAATACGATTTCACTTAAAATTTAATATACATACCTGTTTAAGACCTTGCAAAAGACGCATTCCCATTTGAGTGACTTGCATTATGTATCTATCCCTCCGCTACTGATTTTTCAAAATGTAAGAATTGGGTGCATTCATGACACTGAACGGTTAAGCAATTGTTGAATAATTTGTCAACGTTATTGGTCTGAATGTAAGGCTCTAACAGTAAGGACCAATAGTCACTAATCGCTCATTGAGCGGTTTTCTCCGCTAAACGCAATGATTGTTGACATACTTATATCATACCACGTATATTTCATTTCTCGCATTTCGTTGTGAGTTACTGCGCAGGTGTGCTCCGCAGGCGGAGCAGCAGCTCTCATCTTTCTCGAGTCGGGATGCGTCCCGAAAGTCATTAAAAAAAAAGTGACAACCTTTATGTCCGCGACCGTAAGAGTAAAGGCTCGTCTACAATAGCTGTAAGAGTAAGGCTGTAAGGCTGTAACGTAAGCTGTCAGCGAATGAAAATATTTCATTTCGTGTCTTGCAACCTTACAGTCTTATAGCGTTTTTCATTGGGAAAATGAGTGCGCACTCAATGCGCACTAGTCGTGGACGATGTGTTTCATTGGGAATTTCAGTGCACATTAAAATCATGCGTCGTGTTTCATTGGAAAATGTAGTGTCGAGTTTTTGCACTTTCGTGCACAAATTCGGCACGAGCTCGGAGAGATGGTGTCGGTTGAGTGCAAAACATGGCGGCGCAGAACAGAGATGTTTTGAATGAACAAACGTATGTGATAATTTCGGATTTCCTTTCATCTTCATCCAGCAGTGATGAAGATGAGTATTTTCTTCGAAATCCGAGGCGAATTGTTCCTAAAATGAAAAACTTTTTGCAAATAGTATATCAATATTCCGATCACGACGTAAGTTTATTGTTATAATTTAGCTTGTGAAAATAAAAGTAGAAAGTAATTTTTATTTTTGTTGTAGTTCAAATCCCAGTTTCGAGGGCAACAGCATATGATATTATAAATAATTTCGAAAATTCGACGTTCTATTCTGGTGATACAAGCCACGGAGGTATTAAACCGTCCTCTGCTGAATCACACGTTTTATCTTTTTTGTGGTAAGTTTTACATATACATGTATAGTTTTTAATTCATCCACTACTTATATTATATATATATATATATATAATATTAAAAAGATTTCAAAAAAATATTACTTTGTATAGGTTTGCAGGAAATAAAGTGTGCTTAAGAGATGTTGCACAAAGATTTGGAGTATGCGCTACAACGATTATTCGACAAAATAAAAGAATGATGGATTTTCTATGCGATATAGCTGGAAACGTCATCAAATTTTCTGACAAAGAAAATACTGCAAACGAATTCCTTCAAGTATGTATATTTAATTAATGTATTTTAATGAAGCTAAAGCTAGCAGCCGATTCATAGCTGAATTATGAAAGCAGTAGTTTTTAATTATTATTTAATAAATGTCAATTTCTTGTTAATTAATTATTTAATGCTAAAAATTTTTCTATTCTTTAGTTCTAAACAGTGCTTATGCGAATTTGCTACTAGTTTCAGCTTTATTGTATTTTATGTATGTTTTTCTAATGAGTTATTTAATGTATATGTATTGAATATATAAAATTGAAGATTGCAGGATTTCCGAAAGTTCTTGGCTGTATTGATGGGACTTTCATTAAAGTCCGAACGCCAGCCCACAAAATAAAATCGACATATGTAAATAGACATGACATCCCTTCGATAACATTGCAGGGCATATGTGATGCTCGAAAGAGATTTATAGATACATTTACAGGAATCCCGTCGAAAATTCACGATGCGCGCGTACTCAAATTATCAGATATATGCGACGAGTTGCCAGGAATATGTGAAGGTGGAAAATATCACATCCTAGGCGATGGAGCGTATCCAATAAGAAAATGGCTTATTATACCATTTAAAGACTACGGAAATCTGTCTGCAAAGGATAAACAATTTAATAAAATGCTGTCTGCGACTCGAGTATTGATCTAGAATGCGTTTGGACTGTTGAAAGGTCGTTTTCGACAATTAATCGAAGTAGATCTACATACTGTTGATAAAATATCAAAATTTATTACATCATGTTGCGTTTTGCATAACTTATGCATAGACAACAACGATAACTTTGATGTCGATATTGTTATAGAAAACAATGAGGATTATAATAATGAAGGCAGAGGTCAACAAGAAGCTCTATTACGAAGATTAGGGGAAGTAAAAAGAAACCAATTGATGAATGTACTTTTTCCATGAAATAAAAATCAATACAATATGAAATTATCAAACGTTTATTTGTCCTGTGGCAAATAAGTACATACTTTCCAATAAAAAACAAAACGTATAAAAACAAAGCATATTTTTTTTATAACACGTACATATTGATTATTTTTTCAATATTCATATATTATATCTCTTATTTATTTCATAAACATGTAATTTTTTAACATACACGCTTTTTCAAAAAGTTTGATTGTAAAATTAAATAACACTGTTTTAAAATTAAATAACACAATAAGTTTACTTTATACTGGTTCATACTTAATAGTCTGAGCAGTACTATATCTTTCGTAAAGTGCGAAAATCAAAATATGCATACGCTAATATTAAAAACCAGTAATATTAAAAACAAAGACATACAATTAGTAAACGTACAAAATTATAAGAGAAAAAAAAATAATTAAAATTATATATCACATCCAACGTTTTAGTTAGGAACTTTCATATTAACATATGGTTCAGGCTGATTTTACATTAGTCTTTCTTTGGTTTTTTTTAATACTTGCTTGTTTCTGTATCATCTTACTTTAGTTCCCGCTACTTTTGTTTGGCGAACAACTCCCGTATTAAATTCAACTTTTCTTCGTGACGTCTTTCTTTTGCCGCTTCTTTATTTTTCCAGTATTCCATCCTTTTATCAATATCACTTGGTTTCGATTTTTTTGTCTTTGGTGGTGAGCTATCAGTAGAATGTGTAGAGGCACTATCATTGCAGATTTCTTCCGACATTCTTGTATTCAATTTAGGATATTTAACGCTCCTTGCATTTCGCAACACCTCGGGCTCAATACTATCGTCCGAATGAGCAATTTTACGCAATTCTTCTTTGAATGGTACATCCTCTCTAGAGCTGCCTGATTTAGAGTTGTTCTCAACTGCTTTTTTTTCCTTTTGAGAACGGTTTTATACCGATTTTCAACTTGAAGAGGAGTTTTTAATACGTCCAACATCGTCAGCATATCTTTTGAAATTTGCGCCCACATCAATTTTTTAGTTTTGAATTTTTTCATGGGACCAATATCCGACATATATGTTTCATATTTATCGAGAAGAAACGATGTTCCTGAATTGCTCCAGTAATCTGAAAATCACGTTGTTTAATGATTAATACAATAGTCTACATTATAGCACCAGTAAACCTATTAGTAGGTATTACAATAATGTAAAAATTTTGTGAAGTCAAAGATTTTAAAAAATCTTTTATATTTTATATTACATTTTTCATATTATATTTATTTCATTTATATTATATTTATATATATTCTATTATACATATATATTGTATGTATTTTATTTGTTAATAATATATTTAGATTATATTTATTAACGTATCATTCTTCGTTTCGTATCGTATTAATTTTCTGCTCGAATATAACAAATACCATATTTTATAGTACATTATCATAGTGCTATGAATAGTCGTAAATGCTTTATTAAAACAGATTTACCGCTACTCTTCTTTCCTTTTTTATCGTACTCCTGCGATTGTGATTCATTCTGATCATACTCCTGTGATTCAAAGGATTTAAACATGAGTGCTTCATTTTCTTTAATATACTCCGATAGCTGATCTTCATTGCTGCGATTATCACCATGAATATTCGCGTGGAATATCAATTGTTCTCTGTAATACAAAATATATTGACATTTTACACTGCCATATACAGGGTGAGTAAGGATCCTCTGCAACAAACTTAGACAGATTGTTTGGAAAGTCATTCTGATTAAAAAATGTCATATGAACATAGATCCTATTCTTAATATTTACAGACCTCAAATGTTCGACAGAATTTGACAATCACTGCTACGATGGTGTAATAAAAGTAATCAGATTCAGAATAAACACTTTGAACAACTCCTGTAAACTGTCCGCAAGGATACTTGAAGAAATAAATGCATAATTCATTTCATAACTGTACATGTCACCTAAATTTTACAACTTCTGTAACTATGTAAATATTAAGAATAGGACCTGTGTTCATATAACATTTTTTACTCAGAATGACCTTCCAAACAAGTTGTCAAAGTTCGTTACAGAGGTCCTCTGACTTACCCTTTATTTTTTTTTTCTGTTGTGTACATTTGAATTCTGTAGAACTTTGATTCTTTGAAGAAATAATGAAAAACAAGATTGCTTGGAATTAATATATGTATGTAAGAAACTGAAGAGTTCCTGTTTACCCTAAAGTAAACTTACTTATTTTTTTAAAGTAAACTTGTAAAATAAAATGGTAATTATATTTTATAAAATAAACTTTGCTCTTAACTTCTTAATGTGCTTTTTCGGAAGATTTTGATAGCTTGCAATTAATACATCTCAAAAAAATTTTACTTACTCATCTTCAATCACTCGAGATATTTCTTCAATTTTCTGATTTTCGCTTCCATGTAGAACACACAATCCATTTTTAATCACAAGTTTTATATATTGTATGCTGTAGGTATCGTCATCTGAAATTAATTGACACAAGAATCAATAATATTCAGTTAATATTCTTTTATGTATATATTTTTGAATATCAAATGAATTGTGTTTTACAAACTTTACAAGGGGTTATATATGCATTCAAGTTTTTCGAGTAGACAATATCCAAAAACTATTATGTACATAAGTACATATGTCTTTGCCGACAATTTATTTATACTACGGGAATAACCTCAAAATCCAAAATCATGCAAGTCCTATATAATTCTATACTTACTCATTAATTTATTATAGAACTCTGTTTCACTTGATAGAAGTTTTAACGAGAGCATGTCACTATTGACTTTGAAAGAAATGCTTAATTCTTCTGATTGTTCCATAGTGAAGTTTACGTTAATGCATATATTTTCTTTCAATCCGAGGCGAATCGGTTCTTATGCGCACTCATCAAGTCATGAGTGTTTCATTGGGCGTGCAAAAAAACTTGCACTGTCGGTAAACTCGGGTAGTGTCGCCTAAACTCCACGAGTTCCTAATGCGCACTCAGTGCATCCCAATGAAAAACGCTATTAGAATAACGGAGCATACTTAAAACCGCGAAATTTCAATTTGTAATTTCTCCCAAATGCTTGAGTGTTGCATCGTCTTCGGTTAACAGTAGCTTTTGCTGGACCTATACTACATTTCTTCTAAAGCTTGTCAAAATCAGTGACCCCAAGTTTGGCAGCAGCCCTTGTCAGATTATAGCCCAGAAAGAATTAAAGCCAGCGGCACACGGTGCTTGTTTTCGTGCTGGATTGCTTGCTGGATGAAAATATTGCGTTATGATTGGTACATTTCCGAAGATGGATGGATGGAAACCAATCAGAACGCAATATTTTCATCCAGCAAACATTCCAGCACGAAAATAAGCACCGTGTGCCGCTGGCTTTAGCCTCGTTCGCGTTGCTGAGCGAGAACGAAAGCGAGAAAGAGGGAAAGATATTCTCGCTCGCGTCGCTGAGCGAACACGAGAGCGAGGAGGGAATGATATCTCTCTGTCGCTCGGCGCGCCGACGATTGTCGAGCGCGTGGTCCACACGGATAGACTGCGGCCTGGTCTACAATAGGTGTTGTAAGCTGTAAGCCGTAAGAACTGACCAATTATAGCTGATTATTTTTGTAATAATCGACTGTGATTCGCCAATTCTTACGGCTTACAACTTACGACACGTATTGTAGATCAGGCCTGAGCCGGCTATGTGCGTGCGTGGTGGGGGAAATCAGAAGAGTCGTGGACATTGGCATCGTAGTTCATGTGCACGGTTGTGCAGAGGGCGCCTCACACTGGGCTCGGCTAAAAGCGACCCGTGACCTCTCTTCTTCTTTCTGATCCAACCATCACTGGTTCTTGGCATATTGGCAGTCCATATTTATAAGGTTTATGGTTTAGCATTATCGTAGAGGTTATATATACAAAAAATTGATGAAGTTGTGTTTCCTATTTGCAGTGAGATATTATTTTTCTTGTCGAATGCCTTATTATGCAGTTGCCAGAGGTCGTAAACCGGGTATTTATGCTACCTGGTAAGAAAAATGAAATAAAAAATGATACAGTCTATAATTCAAACAAATTAAGTATAAATTTTTTGTTTTATTTTTTAAGGGATGAATGCAAGTCCCAAGTTAATAAGTTTCTAGGGGCAAGATACAAAAAATTTTCAACCGAAAATGAAGCACAAAACTTTATAAAAGAGCATTCTTTCTTGGCCACACAGATAAATTCCACTGAAGCAGAATCTGCCAAATCCATTGAGTAGGTATTGATAAATATATTTATTCTTACTCATTATGATGAGATCAATAAATAGAATGAGAGAAATAGCTATATAAATTACAATTAGTATTGGACATTTTTAAATGTTACAATTATATATATTGTTATTTAACATAGATTTTTTATGTAGATTACAATCTTTACCAAACCAACCATTTTTATTTGGAAGAAAAACTGCAGTTGTAAAAAAAAATGTATTATTGCCACTGTCATCTTCAAAAAGGATATTATCAACAACAAAGTTAACAAATGACAATGATGAATCTTCTGTATGTTCAAGTAAAAGAAGAAAAATTGAAAGCTCTTTATTTAATTTGTTGTCTAAACAGGTTTGAAATAAATAATATAAAATGTTTTAACAAATAAGTTTATAAATTAAACAAAATTAAGTAGACTTATAGAACTTATTTATAACTTATATATTTGAGTTTGCATAGGATGACATCACAGATAGAGAGGGCATTAATAAAGTGGACTTTATCACAGATAAAGATGGCTATGTGAATGTCTTCACTGATGGTGCATGTAGCTCTAATGGCTACAAAAATGCACGAGCTGGTATTGGTGTTTGGTTTCAAGATCATCATCCATTGTAAATTTTGATCTATATTTTTAACAATTGTTTAGTTGCATATAGTTTTTTCTAACAACTGTCCTTGTATAGAAATGTATCACAACCAGTAGAAGGACGACCCACTAACAACATGGCAGAAATACAAGCAGTTACAGTAGCTGCTAGACAAGCAAAGAAAGCTGGAATAAAAAAGTTGAGGATTAACACTGACTCTAAATTCCTTATTTTGTGTATCACGGAGTGGATGTCCAAATGGAAAAGTAGAGGATGGTTAACAGTTGGTAACAAACCAGTTATAAACAAAGTAGAACTATTGGAAATGGAAAAAGAACTGGAACCATTAATTGTCGCTTGGGTAAGTGATATCTAGCTTAAAATCTTATGTCAATAAAATTTAATAATAAATATTAGAATCTAAATATTAGATTAATATATGATATCTCAGAAATATGTAATTAAGTATCTTGGATTTTACTATAACAATGTTCATACTGATATTTCAAAAAATACAAAATGGTAGATGGTGAGTTAACTTATAAGTCAAATGAAATTAAATCATTCACACCAGCTTCATTTTCAAGAAAAGGCAATTTTATAGAATCATGTAAATGGACATGCAGGAATTCACGGCAATGAAATGGCAGACAAGCTGGCAAGAGAAGGCTGTATGCAGTATAAAAGTCAAAACAAACAAGGATAAATATTTAATTAGAAATGTAAAAATTATTTTGAATTGGAGTTATAAATTATTTATATATATATATGTATCTCACACAATAAACTTATAACAAATTTACAATCAAAATAACATACTGTGAGAATTTAATATATATGCACATAACAGTAACTTATTAATAATTAATTTGCTTTAGTCCATTAAAGAATATTTATATACATACGTATTAGAAGTAGGTCATTATAATGCTTCTCAATATTTTTATACTATTTTTTATAAAAGAACTCAAAAATTTATTTTGTATTAAAGGGAAAAATATAAGATGTTTGATATAACTGTTTGTATATAGATAAATATTATCATTATACTGGATGAAAAATCCTTTACTATTTTATATGTAATTTCTTAAATATAGTTTTGCATATTAGTAATTTTTTAAATATATATAAATATTGAGAATTCACATACAAGTGATGACATAATAGGACATGAAACATAATAGGACAAATTTTTTAGATAAAATGTTCTCAAAAACATTTGGATCTATCGATAATTTCTTGACAAGATGTGTAATATTAAACAGTAGGAATAGGTATTATAATTGTCATACATTATACTAGTTAATATTATACATTGTCCATTGTTACTACTAAGAGGCTATTGACATAACCAAATCTTTTAGATAAGATTTCAACTAAAGAGATCATCATATCATATGTACTCATTTACTAATCTTTTTTTAATATCTTGATGAATAATAGTGGTTATTTGCAAAACCATATAGAACTTTTTCATTCAATTTCAATGACAACTTCCATCTACACACAAGCAGATAGCAGAAACTTACAGGTTACATTGGACATACAATACAATATTAATTTGATTTTAAATTATATTTTGAAGATTAGGCAAGTCATAATTTTTTCAAATAAGACATACATAATCATTTCCCTTTCTTTATACTTTATTTTAACTTTCTTTACTTTACTTTTTATATTAAACTTAAATTTAATTTTCTTTACTTTACTTTAACTTTACAAGCAGTTACAGTAGCTGCTAGACAAGCAAAGAAAGCTGGAATAAAAAAGTTGAGGATTAACACTGACTCTAAATTCCTTATTTTGTATATCACGGAGTGGATGCCGAACTTTAACTTTCCAAAATCATTAGTTCATTATTTTATCTTTGTTAAAGAATAACAAATTTCTAAAGTTATTAGGAATAATCTCTGTGCTTGTGTTACCCAGGATCAACATGATAGGTAATATGTATTCTCTATAGAAAAACAAGGGAATTCATATTAAAAGCGAATCATATAAGGAATTAAATATCCATCATATCATGTCATTACTTCTAGATAGTATTAAGTAGAGGTTACTATACAGGGTGTCGCATTTTAATGTCTCACCCCAAGTAACTCTTCAGTATTGAGGTTTCAAGGAAAATGATTCGAATAAAAGTTGTAGGGATTTAAATGAGCTACCTTATGATGGCCTTGACTTTGACCTTGACCTCTATTTTCAAGGTTATTTGAAGGTCAACTTGCGTTTTTTAAACAGGAACCCTTATTTTTTACATTGTTTTTTTCTACTATTTAATTTGAACAACTTTTGTCTAAAACATTTTTTTATTTGTCTAATATTTTTTGAGATATTTGATTAACTTTTTCATTTCATTAACTTATTTGACTTACGATATCTCGCTAATTATCTGTCGGAAGAAAAAGTGGTATTAGACTTTCTTGCTTTATTTAGTCTCAAGAATATATTGTTACAATAGCGTCCTGATTTTTGTTAACTTATTAATTTTTGGAAATTTCAGTCATCAAATTAACAAAACTCAGAACGCTATTGTAACAATATATTCTTGAGACTAAATAAAACAAGAAAGTCTAGTACCACTTTTTCTTCCGACAAATAGTAAGCGAGATATCGTAAGTTAAATATTGAAAAAGTTATCAAGTTTTCCTCAAATATCTCAACAAATATTAGGCAAATAAAAAAATGTTTTAGACAAAAGTTGTTCAAATTAACCAGTAGAAAAAAATAGTGTAATAAAAAATAAGGGTTCCCGATTAAAAAACGCAAATTGACCTTCAAATAACTTTGAAAATAGAGGTCAAAGTCAAGGTCATCATAAGGTAGCTCACTTAAATCCCTACAACTTTTATTCGAATCATTTTCCTTGAAGCTTCACTACTGAAAAGTTATTTGAGGTGGGACATTAAAATGGGACACTCTGTATATATACAAGTATACCTGATATATATAATATATAAACAATGAATATATAATATATACACAAAACATATATAAATTATATATAAATACTATTTTTTAAATTACAGTTATAGCAGTTGCAGATTATTTGCATTGTTTTTTTCGATAAATATATAGAAAAGGGTACACCTCACTGATTTTTTCATTTTGAAATATGTTATAAAGGATGAAATCCTGACTGACTTTTCCTAATACAATTATATAGGGGTCGCTTACAGTTTCTGAGATATTTGACTTTAAAGTTTTATAATTGTATGTTGAAATATATTTGAAGTAAACAAGCAGTTTTCATTCACTTTAAATATAGGAAACAGACATAAGCGGGAGAGGGGCTCCGTCCCTCCCCCGTATCTCCCTTCCAAACAAATCCTAACCTAACCTAACTTATTGCATTTTTATATATTTTTGGATATCATTGAAAAAAGTTCTCTTAAGATCTATCACCTGGCTTGACTTAACTTATTAGAATATCTGTATGTAATTAGGTGTTGTGGCTTTTAAGGAGATCTTTTCAACATCGCCCAACAATATATATAAAGATGCAATAAGTTAGGTTAGGATCTTTTTGGGGAGAGGTTGCAGGGAGACGGAGCCCCTCTCCCGTTTATATGTACTGTTGCCTATATTTCTATGCATACACTATGTTTGAATTAACTGTTTGGATTGTATTGTAAATAACATCAGCTTATGAGATCTGGAATTTAATTCCAGGATAATCAAAATTCCAAAACTGAAATCAAATATCTCGGAAACTATAAGTGACCCCCGTATAGTTGTATCAGGAAGTCACTTAGAATTTCATCTTTTACAACATATTTTAAAATGGAGAAAGCTGATGAGGTGTACCCCTTTCTATATATTTACCTCTACTTCAAATATACTTCAACATATAATTATATAAAACTTTAAAGTCAAATATCTCAGAAACTATAAAGGCTCGTCTACAATAGCTGTAAAAGTAAGGCTGTAAAGCTGTAACGTAAGCTGTCAGCAAATAAAAATATTTCATTTCGTGTCTTGCAACCTTACAGCCTTACTCTTACAGCTAATGTAGATGAGCCTTAAGTGACCTTCATATAATTGTATTAAGAAAAGTCACTCAGAATTTCATCCTTTCTAACATATTTCAAAATGAAAAAATCGGTGAGATGTACCCTTTTCTATATATTTACCTTTTTTTTCAGTTGATTATTTTTTATGATGATTAATAATATCCATTGCCAAATTAGTAGATGTAATACATGAAGTGCTATTTCTTAGCAGATGAAGCAAATATAAGTGTTCTTTCGTCAGTAGTCAGTCGACTCGGAGATTGCGACAATGATTTCAGGAGAGTGTAAATATCTTCTGGAGATGTTGATAATGCCAATAAATCTAACAATATCCTAATAAAACAAAGGAGAAAAAATTGATCTCAATAAAAAATGATAATAATTTGTTGATATGTGAAAATGTGAAGGTTATGTTCCAAATATAAAATTCTTTTAACTGTTGATAATTCTTACCGAAATACACGAGGTGCAGCAGAAATTCCTGTTATTTCAGCCAATTCGATCAACTCCTGTTGATGCAGCTGTGGATATGTCATATTAGCAAAATTTACTAAAAGAGAACCCAGAATCTAAACTTTTCTCGCTGAGCACTAACACCGCTCGGTCGATCGCTCGAATACCGATGTTCGTTTCGAGAGCACGCCGCGAATCTCTTTACCAGGGACTGAGTATTAAGCCAGCGGCACACGGTGCTTGTTTCGTGCTGGATTGCTTACTGGACACAGATGTCTATACTATACTAGATTGCTAACTTCGATCTTTGACTTATACAAGAGCTGTGTCCCGCTTATTTTCCGGTTCGGCCATGAAGAGCGCCAAAACATGGCGGCAGTGTGTGTTTGTAGTGCGTACGTGAGTATCCGATGCGTGTGTAGTAGTGCTGTACTGTAAGTATGTGATACCTGATGTGTCTACACTGATGTGTCGTATCTACTTATATTAGTAAAACTACAAATATATAAACGAGATAATGCCAAGTACATGTTGCATTGTTAATTGCAATAATACGAATAAAAAAGGATATCACTTATTTAAGTAAGTAGAATACATTTATATATAATAAATGTTCGAGGTTTGTAATATGTGAGGGTTATCTTGTAATTAAACATTGTTAATATTATTAATATTATGTTAATATTATTAATATTATTAATATTAGAATGTATTCACTTACAAAAACAACGAAAGATAGAAATCCTGCAAGTAACAGACACAAATTTACAAAATTAATATTATTTAATAACACATAAGTTGCATTTTATTCTTTATATGTATGTAAAAAATATTAATACAAATACTTTGACATATTTTGAACTGTATATATTCAATTTAATTTTAACCTTTACCAAACACTTAGATTAGCAACACCTTATTAATACACACATCTTTAAATGATATTCTTTCTTGTTCGTATTTTTGAAATTTACTTATTCGGCATTATCTCGTTTGTAGATTTGCAGTTTTACTAACATAAATAGTAGTAGACACATCAGGTGTCACATACGCACTACCACGCACTACTACATACGCATCGGGTATTCACATACACACTACAAACACACACCGCCGCCATGCTTGGCGGTCTTCATGGCCGAACCGGAAAATGGGCGGGACACAGCTCTTTTGAGAAGTTAGCAATCTAGTATAGTATAGACATCTGTGTTGCTGGATGAAAATATTGCATTCTGATTGGTGCATTTCCATCCATCTTCGAAAATATACCAATCAGAACGCAGTATTTTCATCCAGCAAGCAATCCAGCACCAAACAAGCACCGTGTGCCGCTGGCTTTAGGCTCGCTCGCTGAGCGAGAACGAGGGCTCGAGAGCGACAAGGAGGGAATGATATTCTCTCTCTCTCTCTCTCGCTCGCTCGCTCGCAGGGGGTACAAACTCCCCTCTTAGAATATCATTTCTGCTATCGTATGCGATATCTAGGGTCCTTGTTTCAGGAATAGACTCCCTGGACATTTCGAAAGCATCCTTTTGGTCTGTTCTTTTCAGCTGCATTGCGGAACTAGTGCAATAAGTTAGAATGAGACAACTATATTTTTTCTCACTTTAACTTATTGCACCAGTTCAGTAGTGCAGCTGAAAAGAACAGACCATTTGTTTCGTTCCTCTATTTATGGACCTTGCGACGTAATGGTCTGTTCTTTATAGCTGCACTGCTGAACTAGTGCAATAAGTTAGAATGAGAAAAAATATAGTTGTCTCATTTTAACTTATTGCACTAGTTCAGTAATACATGGTAGTGCAGCTATAAAGAACAAACCCAATATTAGCCATATGCAAGAACAAGAGCCGCTTATACTTTTTTGTGTAGTAAGCGGCTTGTGACATTGTTTATAAATAGTTATGACGTAAAATTGTCTATTTGTCACGTTTTTGCTTTTAAAGTCGAATTTCAAAATGGAAAAGTAAGTAAAATGGACCAATATTGTTTACTTAATAGCATAATTGTTATGTAAATATCTGAATCTGAACATTATTATTTACATAAACGAACATTAATTTTTTATATTAGATCTCAGAGTGGAAACTCGAAAGAAAATAAACAAAGTACATCAAATAGCAGTAGAAGACCACTATCAATTGAAGGTCCTTCTACTTCTAACAATGCTGAACATATTTCACTTCCACTGCAACCTTTGTTAAACCAACCAAGACAGCCAACTAACTTGCAAGGACTTCTTAAGTATGCAATAGATGTGGCACAGTTTGAAGATATAGAAAACAAATCGCAAATATATCCTTTAGATGAAGAAGTATGTATTAGTTTATCAATTAATAGTTTTTTGTTTGTATACTAAGTTACATTTATATGTTGCAGAAAAAAACTTTCTTAAATAATGCTTTATCATCATTAACAGTAAATGTAATAGAAGAATTACAGGAAGATATAAAAATATTATCTGGTATTGTTAATCTAAAAACTGATGGAGATTCATCAATATATGAGAATGCACTTAATAGAATTAGTCATCATATAGATAACATTGATATAGCTAATGATTTTTATAAAATTGGAGGATTTTCAGTGCTTCAATTATGCTTAGACTGTTCACACAGTAACATAAGATGGAGAATAGCCGATATCATTGCTGAATTAGCACAGAATAATCCATTTTGTCAAGAAAAGATACTAGATACTGGATTATTTCCTATATTATTGTCTATGGTTGATACAGATGTATCGGAACATACAAAAGTAAAAGCTCTCTATGCCATATCATGTAAGTAATTCAGTAAAGTATAAAAATTTATTTAACTTTGACATTCTAATAAATAATTGTATTTGGTATATCTTAAACACAGGTATAGTTAGAGAAAATTCAACATCATTAAAATATATGGAAATAAACGATGGTTATTCAGTACTTCTACGAGCATTACAGAGCCCAGTAGAGAAGCTGCAGATAAAATCTGCATTTTTACTTTCTAATTTATGTAGCAAGGAAGACTCTAGTGACATAAAGCATATCTTAATAAAGATGGGTTTTATTGAACAAGCAGTTGGACTGTTACTTAGATGCAATTTGCAGCTGGAAATAAGGTAATGTGTCTGTAACATCATTTGAATATTATACTTTGAGCATTGTATTGTTTGACTATTATATTCTGAATATTATATTATTTCAATATTATATTATTTGAGTACTATATGTATATATATACACCGGGTGTTTCAGACCACCTGGGTCACCCGATTTTTTCGTTAATGCGACATTTTAGTGAAAAATATTTCAGACAAAAGTTGTAGGGCTTCAAAGGATCTATTTACTGACACTATGAATTTGACCTTGGGATAACCTTGAAAAGTCTAGTCAAGATAGACAAAAATCTTAAATGGATACCCCAATTTTTTATTACATTATCTTTTTCTAGCAATTAATTTGAACAACTTTTGTCTGAAACATTTTATTTACTTAATATTTTTTGAGATATTTTGAGAAGGAAAACTTGATAAGTTTTTCAATATTTAACTCACAATATCTCGCTAACCATTTGTCAAAAGAAAAAGTGATACTAGACTTTTCTGCTCTATTTGGTCTCAAGAATATATTGTTCCAATATCGCCCTGAATTTGGTTAATTTGATGATTTTGAAATTTCCAAAAATCAGCAAGTTAACAAAAGTTAAGGCGCTATTGTAAAAATATATTCTTGAGACTAAATAAAGCAAAACAGTCTAGTATCACTTTTTCTTCTGACAAATAATTAGCGAGATATCGTGAGTTAAATATTGAAAAAGTTATCAAGTTTTCCTTAAATATCTCAAAAAATATTAGGTAAATAAAAAAATGTTTCAGACAAAAATTGTTCAAATTAATTGCTAGAAAAAGATGATGTAATAAAAAATTGGGATATCCATTTAAGATTTTTATGTTGATCTTGACTGGACTTTTCAAGGTTATCCCAAAGTCGAATTCATAGCGTCAGTAAATAGATCCTTTGAAGCCTTACAACGTTTGTTTGAAATATTTTTCTCTAAAATATCGCGTTAACAAAAACATCGGGTGACCTGGGTGGTCTGAAACACCCAGTATATATATATGATATTTAATAAACCACAAATTTTATTGTTATAGAGAACAATTATTGAGAATGTTGTATAGTATGGTAAATGATAACTTTTTACCAGCATTGGAAGAACTTCGTCGGCCCCAGTTACGTTTAAAGTATATTTTAGACTCATTATTAGATAATTTCGAAAACAATCAGAATGAAGAATCTGAAAATAATCAAGATGAGAAAGAAATATGTATTGAACTACTGAAAAAAATATTTCCTGAATCTGACATCAGCCAAGAAAGATAACAAATTTATATCAGTTTTTCTGCCTAAATAAATATAATAAAGTATTATTTTTATCTTGTTTTATTAAATCTAACTAATTTTGAAACTATTTGCTTAATCACTATCATTTTGCATAATTAGTATAAAACATTTATGATATAAATAAATATCATTTGATATAAGATCATTTGATATAGATATGGTATCAAGTGTGTTTAACACTTGTAGTCTCATCACATTTCCAAATAAAAAGATGTTTATGTAAAAGAATATTTTAAATCGTTAGAATATATTTATAAGATGCTGTGAGAACATCTATATATTTGTAAGATGCTCCATGCTTGAAAATCAATAAACAGTCATAAAATGATTAATATGAGATTGATTACGGGATAATTGCGCATGATATACTAGGCCAAATATTACAGTCATTTTGTGGCTGATTAACAGTTAATGCAATCGGCTATGTAAGAAAATTTCGATTTAACTGTTATTACGGATAAGGTAACACTGGAAGAAGATTAAAGTAGAGGGGTTCATATACAGGATATGTACGAGTTCATAGTATCGCGGATATAATAGTGTGTGCTTGTTTCTTTGCAACTTTCGGAACGCATCCCGACTCGAGAAGAATGAGAGTCACTGCTCCGCCTGCGGAGCAGTGACTCTCATTCTTCTCGAGTCGGGATGCGTTCCGAAAGTTGCAAAAAAACGGGCACTTATTATGTCAGAGAGAAGGAGAGAGGTCACGGGCCGCTTTTAACCGAGCCTAGAGACCCTTCAATCAGAGACTGGCCATAAGAGGGCCACTTTTGATTGGTCTAGAATTTTCGTCAACTCCCGCTCAAATTTCAAACGTACTACTCTTACACAAGCAACATAATAATAATAGTTTCAGAGAAATAAAATAATAATGATTAAAATCATAACTATTTCTGAATTTACAAAATTTATTTAAAAAAAATATGCATAGCCATAGACTTACTATCATAACGTTGGTTGTTATTATTAACATAGTTTTTGTTGACAATCCTTAACCTAAATACTGCAAACCGTTTAATTATTTTTGAAAACAAATTATGACAATTAATAATGTGGTCTGTGGGAACCAGACTATATTTACTAATTAAATATTTTTTCCAATCAATATTTGCAATGCTAAAATATTTAGAATAATGTCGGAACATCTTTTCTAATATTATAAATAGTTTGAACGTCTTAATGTTTACAAAATATAACGAGCCTATATAGTGTAACATTTAAATAGATCAAACTTTGTAAAAGAATATCGCAGCGGAATATTAGATATTACAGAATTAATAGAGGTTTTACATGTTTTGCACATTTTTATTATTGGTTTAACAATATATCCTGCAATGTTATATAATGAGTTTAAATCAATGGTTGTTAATTTCAGTGTCGAGATATTTTTAAACGGTGGTATTGTATCAATATTTGTTATAGTGTGTATTAGTGTTGGTAAATCGGGTTAGAAATCGCTTCATAATTTTTATTTTGTTGTTTTCCTGATAAATATTCAATAAATACAGAAAGATATTGTTCATTCTCATGGTTAGTATTACTTAGATGTTGCATATACATCGCAGTAGAGATTAATTTTAGATCATTCGTAAATTGTAGCGGGTTCGGAACATTTTTTTGTCGAATTTGCGAAAAAGGATTCTCTATACAATCTTGAGTGAATCGAGACGTTAAAACGAACTTAAAATTTTTATAAGTAATAATTATTAATAATAATTAATTAATTAATTATTATTATTAATTATTACATATTATTATTAATATATTATTAGGTGTGCAACTAAGTTCTCGCTATTTTTTTGATGAAAATGCAACTTTATTGTGAAAAAATGGTTACAAATGAATCATTCAAAATATTGCCCATCGCTAGCGACAACTTTTTCCCATCTTTCTGGCAGAGCTCGAATACCGTCACGATAGAAGTGTTCGTCTTTTGAGGCTATCCACGAATCAAGCCATTTTGAGATGTTTTCATATGAGCGGAACTGCTGATTAGCCAGACCATGTGCCATCGAACGGAACAAGTAATAATCGGACGGCGCAATATCTGGGGAATATGGCGGCTGGGGTAGGACTTCCCGTTTGAGCGTTTCTAAGTAGGTTTTAACAGGTTTGGCAACGTGAGGCCGAGCGTTGTCATGCTGTAGAATCACTTTTTCGTGCCTCTGCTCGTATTGTGGCCGCTTTTCGCGCAGGGCTCGGCTCAATCGCATCAATTGAGTTCGATACCGTCCCCCAGTGATGGTGTCGTTCGGTTTCAACAGCTCATAATAAATAACACCGCCCTGGTACCACAAATACACAGCAAAACCTTCGCAGCGTGAATATTCGGCCGAGCCGACGACGTAGAAGCATGACCGGACAGTCCCCATGATTTTGTTCTCTTTGGGTTGCTGTAATGAATCCATTTTTCATCATCCATAACGATGCGATGAAGAAAACCCTTCCTTTTTTGCCGCTGGAGCAGTTGTTCACAGGCGAAAAAACGACGCTCAACGTCTCTTGGCTTCAAATCATAAGGAACCCAAGTTCTTTGTTTTTGAATCATTCCCAACGCATGCAATCGCTTGGAAATGGCTTGGCGGGTAACTCCTAATGCAGAAGCAAGCTCTTTTTGCGTTTGGCACGGATCCTCGAGCAATGCCTCCAATTCAGCGTCTTCGAAGGTTTTTGGCCTTCCTTCACGCGAACGGTCGTCAACATCGAAATCACCGTCTTTGAAGCGACGGAACCAATCACGGCACGTTGTTTCACTTAGAGCAGCATCTCCGTAAACTTTTTGGAGTTCTCGATGCGCTTCAGCCGCCGTTTTCTTCGAATGAAAGAAGAAAAGCAACACTTCCCGCAAATGACGATTATTTGGCACAAAATCAGACATTTTCACACAACCAAAAGTATATGACGCAAAAACAAAATCACTAATGTGTCAAAGCGGTTTGTTTACCATATGTCTAAGTTTGGTTCATGACGTTTTGGTTATGTCACAATCGACCAGTACTTATTACTGGAGCCATCTCTTGAAAAACAGCGGGAATTTAGTTGCGCATCTAATATTATTAATTATTATTATTATTATTTATTATTATTAATTATTAATAATTAGTAATAATTCTATTGATTTAGTAGTAGTGATAATTCCCCTTTGCACCGGTTTGAAATTTCCAGCAGTATTTATTTTTAATTTGTTAAAAATATCAATAATTTCGTTTAAAAAATTGATATTTTCGTTATATACCCAGATAGCCAAATTTGTAATGCCAAATAATTCCAAACACATGCTACAAATTCTGTCAGCAAAAACAGCACAAATTTGAAACAAAACTTGGTATTTCAAATGATGTCGACAAATTGTTAACAAATATGCAACAAACTTTGCGTACACAACTTGATGCCAAATTAACGTCAAATACAGAGCAAGGCTTGACAAAAATCCGACAAGAAATTGGCGTCAAATAAAAAGCAAACCTTGGTGGCAGAACCCGACAACAAATTGACGCCAAATACATGATAAACCTTGGCGCCAAATCCACAGCAAACTTTGGTGTCAGAATCCGACAGCAAATTGGCGCTAAATACAGCGCAAACCTTGATGTCAGAATCCGACAGCAAATTGGCACCAAATACGTAGGAAACCTTAGTGTCAACGCGACACCAAATTAACGCCAAACCTACAGCAAATCTTGGCGCCAGCACGCAACACCAAATTGACGCCAAATCCATAGCAAACTTTGGCGTCATACGCGATATCAAATTGACGCCAAATCCATAGCAAATTTTGGTGGCAGCCGCGATACCAAATTGACACCAAATCCACAGCAAACTTTGCTGTCAAAGTTTGACACAAATTTGACGCCAAGAATTAAATAAAATTTGTCGCTTTAATGCCATATTTTTTTTATTTCAGGAATTAAATGAGTCACAAATAAAAATATAAATGTTTTTATTAGAACCATATATATTACAAATTAAAGCTATTTAAATTTAAATAAATAAATAGGTAACCCCCAATATGTATATATATTCAGTTCCACTCAATAAAAGTTTATATCATATATATATATATATATATATATATGATATAATATAAACTTTTATTGAGTGGAACTGAAAAGTACCGATTGTTTATTGCAACACAGATGTATCAACGTCTTAAAAATGTGGCACTGAAAAGTGCCGATTTGCTCCACTCTCTTCGGGTAGAGTATGTGTGGTGTATGTGTGTGATGTGAGGCGTAGGAGCAGCACGCTACTTCACAAGTGGCCCTGCGAAATACGTGTGATGTGCGTGTATGTGTGTGCGTGTGTGAGCGTGTATGTGGAATCCCTCTCTCCTGCAGCAATCCCTCTCTCCTGTGGCAATCCCTCTCTCCTGTGACCGTGAATTGTCGCATCTGTAAATACCCTGTAAATACAAAAGTTTTTACCTTTTCAAAAAATTAACATAAAAATAAATATTATCATAACTGTCGTAATCAATATATTACCGTTTATTTCCTTCTTGTTTCTTTATGTATTTTCGGGCTCTTCCTCTTGTTCTTCCTCACGATCGTCGTCCCATAAGTCCCTCTGGATCCTTGGTCCTCCTGCCGTTGTCCCTCGTCTTCTGTGCCTGTGCCGCTCCTTAGCTGTTCGTAAGGCCGCTTGCATTTGAGTTTGGAACTCGGAACGCAGAGGCCTTTCGAAATGCCGATTACGACATATACCATCTGGAAAATTATAAGTTATCATTATATATCATGATATGTATCATATAGATGCCGAAAAAAATATTATATTAATATCATGTGGCAAACATCGAACGTAGTGATATCATAACGACGTACTTGCTACGTCTGTCAAGATAGAGTTAAGTGACATGAATATATAAAAGCCTTATCATTTCTTATATCAGAACTTAGACGATATTCAGCCCTACACATAAATTTGCAGATTGGGTAAGTTACTATCATTTTCATAAGATCATAATAAATAACTTATGTGTTAGGCTTAAAATCGTTAAAGTTGTGATGCAAGGAATGGTAAGGCA